AGTTATTCGTGTTGGAGTCACTTACTATATAGTTACCGCTTGAGCACCCTATAAATATAACCCAAGGAGAATTAATTTTAGTACTTAACTTGTAGAAGTTAATGAATAAACTAAAACTACATATACTTTGATGGTTTTTTCTTTTTGGATTCTTTGTGACCTCCATATGATTGAAAGTTCAAGTCTTTAATAAATACAAAAGATTTCTTGGAAATTTCACTAATCTTGACTTGGAATTGTTTATGGTCTTTCAATATTAAAGTATCATCATGATTTAGAGAATGTTTTTGTCATTGTAGTGTAGGATCATTTGTTTAGATTTTTAATTTGTAATGAGACCACAATCACACTTGGACCTTAATTAATAAAACTATTGTTATGATTAGATAGATAGTATTACTTTACTACTTTGATTTTTCAATCCTATCATTTTCAAATTGACTTGGTGCTTCTTTAATTTCATCCATTTACTTTTTAATCAGTCCTTTATATATCAGATGTTGATGGGCTTGTTTGTGTCTAACTTTCTTTTTCAATCATTAGTTCTTTTTCTTTGATCTAGCTAGTATCTACATCCATCATACCTTAACATAGTTTTCTTCTCTTTCAAACATGAACTTAATGAATTATTGTTCCCAAATTTATGCGAAACTTTGACCACATTATTGTGAGGCATAATAGAAAAATGAATTAGAATTATTATATAAAAAAAAGTTTAATAACTTATCCAATAACAAAAAATAAAATAAAAAAGAGTACAATTACTTCCTATGAAATCAATAGAAAAAGTTTCATAATCATGTGAAAAGCATAGTTGTTGTTATATGGAAATCTCCATATCAATGAAAACAAAATCTAAAGTAGAAATTGTTCTAGTATTAAATTTACAAAGTATCGTAAATTCAGTAAGTGCAAATCAAGATTGTTCTTCTATTAAATAAGTAAATGATGATACTTAGTACTACAATCTAGTGGTATTCCTCTTCACTTGTAATTGAGAGGTCTTAAGTTGGATTCTCGCCAAAGGTGAGTTTGAACCACATTATTGATAGCCCATTGTGAGGTTAAGCTCACCCTCTCCCGCTTAAGGTAGATAATATCGTTTGTTAAAAAAAAAAAATGATAATCTCGAAAGTATTTATGCATCTGATTATGGTCAACTAAATAGACAAATACAATGTTTCACGAAAACACAAATGTTGATTATAATCAAACAATTTAGTGTTTAGGGTTCAAACATTTTTAAGCTATTTATATGAACGCTTCATTTTTAAGTGTTCATCCACAATCATCCTTGATTATTGCCTTGAACATTTTGATCGTTTTCGACAACACTTTTTTTGTTTCACAGTTTAGATATTTAAACGATCTACAATTTGATTAATTTTTTTAGGAGATGACCTTTGTATGAAAACTTTAAACAAAACGAACGATTCAAATAATGAAACTAAAGAGTAAAGTAGACCTAAATGAGTTATTCGTGTTGGAGTCACTTACTATATAGTTACCGCTTGAGCACTCTATATATATAACCCAAGGAGAATTAATTTTAGTACTTAACTTGTAGAAGTTAATGAATAAACTAAAACTACATATACTTTGATGGTTTTTTCTTTTTGGATTCTTTGTTGACCTCCGTATGATTGAAAGTTTCAAGTCTTTAATAAATACAAAAGATTTCTTGGAAATTTCACTAATCTTGACTTGGAATTGTTTATGGTCTTTCAATATTAAAGTATCATCATGATTAAGAAAATGTCTTTGTCATTGCAATGTAGGATCATTTGTTTAGATTTTCATTTTGTAATGAGACCACAATCACACTTGGGCCTTAATTAATAAAACTATTGTTATGATTAGAGAAGGTTAGTATTATTTTACTACTTTGATTTTGAGTTCTATCATTTTCAGTTTGACTTTGGTGCTCCTTTTAATTTCATTCATTTACTTGTTAATCAGTTATGTATCTGTCAGATGTTGATGGGTTTGTTTGTGTCTAATTTTCTTTTTCAGTCATTAGTTCTTTTATTACTTCGAAATAGCTAGTATCTACATCCATCATCCCTTTACATAGTTTTCTTCTCTTTCAAACATGAACTTAATTAATTATTGTTTCCAAATTTATGTGAAACTTTGACCACATTACTGTGAGGCATGATAGAAAAATGAATTAGAATTATTATATAAAAAAAAGTTTAATAACTTATCCAATAATAAATTAAAAAAAAGTACAATTACTTCCTAGGAAATCAATAGAAAAAATCTCACAATAATGTGAAAAGCATAGTTGTTGTTATATTGAAATCTGCATATCAATGAAAACAAAATCTAAAATAGAAGTTGTTCTAGTATTAAATTTATAAAGTATCATAAATTCATTAAGTGCAAATCGAGATTGTTCTAATATTAAATAAGTAAATGATGCCACTTAGTACTACGGTCTAGTGGTATTCCTATTCACTTGTAAGTGAGAGGTCTTAGGTTCGATTCTCACCAAAGTTGAGTTTGAACCACATTATTGTCAGCCCATTATGAGGCTAAGCTCACCCTCCCCCCCCTCTTTAGTGTAAATAATATCGTTTGTTAAAAAATAAAAAATAAATAAATGATAAGCTCGAAAATATTTATGCATCTGATTATGATAAACTAAATAGACAAATACAATGTTCCACGTATACACAAATGTTGATTATAATCAAACAACTTAGTGTTTAGAGTTCAAAATTTTTAAGCTATTTATATGAAATCTTCATTTTTATGTGTTCATCCACGGTCATCCTTGATCATTGCCTTGAATATTTTGATAGTTTTCAACAACACTTTTTTTGTTTTTTTCTTTTTGTTTCACAGTTTAGATATTTAAACGATCTACAATTTGATTGAATTTTTTAGGAGATGACCTTTGTATGAAAACTTTAAACAAATGAATGATTCAAATAATGAAATTAAATAGTAAAGTGGACGCAAATGAGTTATTCGTGTCGAAGTAACTTACTAAACAATTACCACTTGAGTACCCTCTATATATAGTTTTCAACAACATTTTTTTTGTTTTTTTTCTTTTTGTTTCACAGTTTAGATATTTAAACGATCTCCAATTTGATTTAATTTTTTAGGAGATGACCTTTGTATGAAAACTTTAAACAAAATGAACGATTCAAATAATGAAATTAAATAGTAAAATGGACGCAAATGAGTTATTCATGTCGAAGTAACTTACTAAACAATTACCACTTGAAACCAAAGGAGAATTAAATTGAGTACTTAACTTGTAGAAGTTAATGAATAAACTAAAACTACATATACTTTGATGGTTTTTTCTTTTTGGGATTTCTTTATTAACCTTAGTATGATTTGACGTTTCAAGCCTTCTACAAATACAAAAGATTTCTTGGAAATTTCACTAATTTTGACTTGAAAATTTGTTTATAGTCTTTCAACAATATTAAAGTATCGTCATGATTTAGATAATGTCTTTGTCGCTGTAATGTAGGACCATTTGATTAGAGTTTCATTTTGTGATGAGACCACAATCTCACTAGGGCCTTAATTAATAAAACTATTGTTATGATTAGATAATGTTACTATTATTTTACTAATTTGAATTTTCAGTTCTATCATTTTCGTATTGACTTGGTGTTCCTTCTCATTCATTTGTTTACTTGTTAATCAGTTCTTTATATATCAGATGTTGATGGGTTTGTTTGTGTCTAACTTTCTTTTTCAATCATTAGTTCTTTTTTACTTCCATCTAGCTTGTATCTACCTCCATCATCACTTAACATAGTTTATTTTCTTTTAAATAGAAGTTAATGAACTATTGTTTCCAAATTCACGTGAAACTTTGACTACATTATTGTAAAAATAGAGATTTGACTGCATTACGTGATTGTATTAAATAATTGATTATAATATGTAAAAAATTTAATAACTTATCCAATAATTAAAAAAAAAATAGTTGAATCACTTCAAATGAAATCAATAGAAAGGTTGAAAAGTCTTCCATAACTACGTGAACAATAAGGAACTTTCGTTGACACCCAAAAAATATCTAGGAACTGAGTAATGCTATGAGATCACATAAATATACCACATTGATGTATCATCTCATATGACAAGTGATGTGTACATGCAACTTCAATTAATTCATCTCTTTGGATGTTGTTGCATGTGGGCTCCCTAGTATTACACGTGAGATAAATCATGGTTTTTTAGCCAAAATAGCCCTGAGATTGTCATAACTCCTCACTTTGGTTCCTAAGATTGTCTACCGTTAATCATTTTGGTTCTTTTATGAATAAATCTCCGTTAAATTGTAGAAACCCCCAATTCAAGTAAAGGGTTTGATTTGATAAAAATACACTCAATTTAAAGCGGACAATCTAAGGGACGACATCAATCAATTTTAAATTTTGGGAATCAAAGTGATGAGGTGCTAATCTCAGTGATCATTTTGGCTAAAAAGCCTAAACTCATTAAATGACAAGACATGTATAAATCACTTACCACATTAGATGGTACAACGATGTGGTACAAAAGTGTGGTTCCCTAACATTTTCCCTAAAAACAATGGGCTCATTTGGAATTGCTTCTAAACCATCTTTTTAATCAAAAGAACTTCTAGTAAAAGCGCTTATTTTAGATTTTACATTGTTCAAGTTGGGCCTGATCCCAAGCCTTATTTTGGCTATGAAATCTATATACTTTTTTTTTCTTTTTTTTTTCTTTCTTTTTTTGAGAAAAATGAAATCTATATAGTTGAATATGCTTTTTCATTCTTTTCGGATTGAATATATATTCATTCAATCCATCAAATGTTCCAGTTGGGGATGATTCCTCTCATTTCTTATTTATCAGTTTGGCTACGAGGAGAGAGAGAAAGCACGAAGGAATTGGGGAATCAACCGTAAATAGAGGTGTCGTTCGCATTGTTATAGGGTTAAAAACTAGGAAGTTAAAAGAAAGGGTCTAATTACAACGATGACTTTCATGTAGTCATATTGCAAACCAAACGAACATGGATAAAGATCGTCCCACAAAACAGTGCCGGTAATATGAATACAGAATCAATACTACATTGTACTTCACTTTCATTTGACACGAAAAAACAACATTTTCCCAACATACATTTGCAGTCCAAAAAGAAAGCGAAGAGCCTGAATTCATGGCCCTCCCCTAAACAATTACTACAATTTCATCATAAACTCACCTCCTCACCTTGCTCACGAGCAATGGAAGCCGAGAGAATCCCATGTCAAAGCAGATTCACACTCTGAGATTATTCTTGTGACAGATGAAGGCTCACCAGCAACCGAGTCAGATGATCCAATAGCCAGAGCTGCGTATGAGTCTCTAAGATTCTTCAAGTTCCTTAGGAACTGCAATAAATGCAAGAATTATAAGAAGAGGCCTAGTTACAAGATTCATGGTTGTACTAATAATACTTGTTCAAATCTGGCATCACTTGTTAATGTGATCTACAATGCTCCATCCATACCCAAGTAATCCCACCTCGCCTATTTCACTCCAGACCCAATTACACCTACAGCAACACGCACACATCCAGACACACAAAGGGCAATGGGGAAGTAAAACCATGTTTGGAGCAAGAGAGAACGGGATGAGAGAATCCCAACAGACAATTTGGTTATGGTTCTCTCCTACTGTTCGGTTGACTTGTTTGATGAAAAGAGAAGGGAAGCCAAGAAATCCAGAAATGGTTGAACTACAATATTGCCCCTTGCATAATATACAAAAATTTTGGTACCCAATTTGAAAGTTTCATAGATTATAAGGTGCAAATAAATAACTAGACATTTAGTCTCCCCATGTTAGAGGATAATGCTTGACTGAGCTCTAGAGGAATGCTTTCCCAGCTCAAGGGAAAACTACCCTTCTCACTCTCTTCCATTTCTTCTCTCCTACCCCAAAACAAAGAAAAGCAAATTCCCCTTTCCTCTCCCCCACCCCTACTTCTTTCCTTCACTTTTTTCTCCCTTAAGACAGATAAAAGGTGAACTTGACTGAATGAACACTGAGCACTGAGTATGTGCTACAAGCAAACAACTACTTTTGTACTTAGTTTTCCATGCTTTGTACTTAGTTTTAGTTTTCCATGCTAAGTTAATAGGGGCACTATGGATGCTTGAACCAAGGAAAGTCCATGTAAACAAGGGGTGGATTGACCACCACAGCATCCATAAAGGGACAGCAAACACAACGCACAAATGTAAAGGGAGAGAAAAAACAGGTCATCATAAATTTAACAGATCAAGGTTGATAAAAAATGTTTGATACTTCAAAAGAATAACCAAAGATCAAGATTACATGTAAAACCAAATGAACGATCATCGAAAGGCCAAGGATCAAGATCCCTATGTTTGATACTTCAAAAGACAAAAGATCCCCATGAAACCCCTATAAAGAACAAAGCCAAATGTGGCATGTACAAGCTACTTTCAACAATTTTAATCCAGACCCCTTCCAACACACACCCCAGATACCTACCCATCATCAGCCACACCATGAAGCTACGATGCTTATGTTCATTACCTCATATGAAAGAACACACCTGTCCTTGTGAAATTCAATAGTAGAAGAAATTTAGTTGCATAGATTGAAGTATTGACTAACTACAGAGATACTTCATCGATACATATTACATAATTACGTAGAACAAGAAAATGTCATTTTCTAGACAGGTAGAAACTCATATTGATTTAGTGGAAAATGAAGTCTCCATGAGGTCTTAATATTATATAAAACCATCACTCACATTAGTGGGTATGTGAACTAGCGAATTGCCATTCAAACTTTAGTTGATAAACCTTATAATGTGCTAGGAAAAAAAAATGTAAACATTGGCAAATGAGATACCTTCAAAAGCATCTTGTATGCCTTCAACAATCGATTGGCAGCCGACCCAAACCCATGGAGCTGGGGTACCTCCATCATGTGTGTCCAGGGATGTATTTCCTACAAAAGGCACAACATTTCAAGGTTGCAGATAAGCATATATACTTCATATGCGCACACATGGCAAAACGAATAACAAAAGTATTAAGGATTCATGCACATCAAAATAAATGTCATCATTCCAAGTGGAGTACTAGCTAAATAGTGAACTTTTCTATTATTCGGGAGCTAAAACTGAAGCGTAAACTTTCTCCTAAGCCAACCAAGCCAGGTATGTGAAAATGGAATCCACCACAAAGCATATGGTTCATCATGGTGCACATGTACCGCCGGTGCTTCACCTTTTTAGCAGATATATAATTCTGAGGAACATGTCAAAATCTTTAAATTTGGTACAACATGAAAAGAAAAGAAAAGAAAAGGGACATCAGATTGTCAAAAAGCAGAGTATATTAAAACACAGAGCAGCTCCAACCTTAGTGGAAATTGTATTGAATGATTTTGCAGTTTCTAGAAAAGACTCCAAATGTTCACGCAATCTTGATTCCACCTCTTCATAATCCTCATATGGGTTGTAGGCATACTACATGCAATAGCATAGAGTCAGAGTGAGAAAAAGAAGGAATTAACTGCACAAGTAGGACTAGAGGGGGAATTTATAAATGATTAAGATGTACACTGACAACACAAATTTTGAAGGAGCATTCAATGCCAGAAATATTGTGGACTTATAGGCATTGGGAATGATTAAAAAACAGAAGAAAAAAATAATTCAAAATGCATATGGCAATAAAGAAAAACTAAGGTACCACTTTTTTTTTTTATTTTAATAACTGCCATATTAATGAACCTTTCAACATCCTTTGGCACTAGCGAAGGCATTACTATGCGTCTGTTCTTTGCAAAGCAGCATAGGATAGGTGAAGATCAAAATGAAATGGAAAGGTAGGGAGGTGGTGTCTTTAGGTGTCAAACGCAGTTAAAGAAACCGAGAACTTTCATGAACACAATGATAGAGTCTAATGACATTAGAATGGCTGGAAAGGAGAAGCAGTGGGATACTATTTTAAAATGACAAGGTTCATTTTCTGGTTTAAGTTGGATGATTTAGCTAAATTACGTTGATATGAACAGTTGGCATAATTTATACAGCACAAAGAGCACTACGTGAAGTTGATCAAATAGCTAAATGGTTCCAGGAAACAAATCATTAAAAAAAAAAAAAAAAAGCAATTATTGTCAAAAGGCAAGAAGATCTAAGTTATGGAATAGAAACAAACCTTTGAAGCCAAATCGTCAACCTTTTGTTGAAGACTTGAGAATATCTTTGATTGTTCTGAAAGCTTTTTCTCCAATTCAGAAACATCAGGCCTGCAATGAACTATCATTAAACAAACAGGATATTATTGTATCTACTGAAACTAGTTGTTCAAACTTAAATGATGTAATCATCTCTTTTGAGAATTTTATCCTAATTAATTTGGGTTGGCTTTTAAAGAGGTTCCCTCTTGTTTGACAATAAAATTTCAGTGAAGCAATTATTCTTTTTAATTTGGGAGTAAACAATAATCAGAAACAGCTTTTCTTACAATGCATCTGCGAGGAGTTTTCTTTTTTTCTTTTCTTTTTTTCTTTTACTGAAGCAATTATCATTCATGTTGTTACTTCGGGGGAGCAATTGAAAATAGTTATCCTTACAATGGATATATGGACTGAATCTGAACATCTACAAGGAACAATTTGCATTCTTCAGAGAATATTTGAGCTTGTTTTTCAGCTATGGAATCAATTAGTTGTATGTTCTTTGCTACCTGCTCATCAATAATGCAGAAATTACAAGTCATAATCTCAGCCTAAAATGATTTTCGAAATCAGAAAACAAATCACACATTGTAGAAGATCTAACACTTCTTTTATCAAACAATAACACCTTGCCAAACCATGTAATACTTAGTATCATCCTACCTCCATTCTTGATTATCAGCATAAATACTTACCTCCACAAGATCTACACTTAGATGAAGCATTTCAGTGCGATCTTCATAGCTTCCTCGCCCCTGCAACAAAAAGCTTTGCCTTCAATAAAAGTGGAGGAAACTCACACAACAAATAATTGCTAAATTTTGCGTCAAGTGCAGAATGTATGATGCCCTACATATGTTCATCTTGTCTAGACTGCCAACTTGGTGCATAATGTGCATCTTGCAAACAATCTTCATCTTATATTTAATTATATGATTCTAGTCTATTCTATCAAATGAAAAGTTTGTTGTGATCTGTCAATACAAATTTTTCTCAAATTGACAATTTCAATGTAGGTGGATCAAAGGAGATTCATATTTCACTACCCTGAAAGCATATCTGGGGGACTAATGTACGGAATTTGAATGTAAGGGGAGCTCCATAAAAATAACAGATTTATTTTTATAACAGGATACAATCCTTACTGTATTATACACCCAAATCAATTCAGATAACACATCAATTAAAAAGTTGACATTATTTAAGAAAGGAGTATCATTCAAAATTTTACTCATTGAGTACTCAATAGAAACATGAATATAGTAATTGATAACAGATCGACTCATGGTACAATTATCATAGAGATTGGTTGCCCAAGAAGAACAAAGCAACAAACAATGACTTTCAAACAAGAAATGAAATAAAAAGACAAAACAAGTAAAAGTGCACTTAATTTGTAAAACTTTCTAAAGAAAAATCGACCATATCAGACAGAATAAATACTCCTAAATCAAGACAAATCCATAACTAACTTGGATGGCTTCGGTGTTTATAGTAGTAATAATACCCAAAAACTTTGCAATCTCTACCAAATCTACAAAACAAAAGGTCAACATTTATTAGCTAAACAATAAAAGAGAAAATTGTCCCATCAAATGACTAAAAACCGTGAAAACTAGCAGGTGCAACATATCTAACATCACATACAAAGAAGATTAGACTTTGGGAAGGTAAGCAATCAACAGATAGACCAACCAGCTGGCTTTAAAAAATAAAAAATAAACCCAAAAGGAAGCAGCAAGAAAAGGATGCTCCACAAAGTTATCTTAAAAAGTCCTAATAAGGAGAGAGTTTGGGTGCATAGAGTAACGAGTTCGATAATTTATTAAGTTATCTCAAGTGCAAGCAATATCATACCCATTCTTGCTTCTTTAAAGTCACATTGCACTAAGATTGTGCAATGACAACTGTAGTATGCATCTATCTTTTATACAATAGAACAGTAATCGTGTTCTTGTCTTTGTCCACTAAACAATCTTATTCTAGATCTAATTTTTCTTTCGAAGTGTGATTTCCTTTAGCATAATTTGAGAGATAAGAACTTTCGTCATATCAGTTTAGCGTGGCCATGTAGAACATATATGTAGTGATGATACCAAAAAGTTGTTTTCAGTTTGGCAACTACAACACAGAAGTTCTTTAAAGTTTTAACACAGTTTGTCAATCTTAATTATCCATCAGGAAAATTTCAGAAGTTTGCAAGTAAGACTAGTTAACAAAAATTGCAGCCACATTTTCGTTTAAAATTAACATTACAACACATTACTATAACTTAGATCAACCATTTGATGGAATTCAAAAACCAATATAAAGTCTACATTTCATCAAATTCCCAACAAATTCAGCAAACCGTATTCGACATTCTACAAAATAGGGTTTACACTGGATTCGAGCAGTCTCTTCGTCGTGATCCATGGCGTCCCCTTGAAGATTTTGTTGGGAGAACGGCGACTTGTCCCCCAGCAATATGCAATTACACAACACAAACAGCAACAATCAAACATGCGAGACACAGTAAGAACCACAAAAGGTCAAAGAAGAAGTAAATGGCATGTCGTGTACCGGAAGAAGAGCCACTCGAGAAGGGCGTAGCGTTCCATGCCGGCGAAGAGGAGGGACTGAGCAACCGCATTGGCCCTCGGATAATTCAGCATCGCCAACTTCCTCTGTATCTCTTCCATTTGTCTTGCCGCCATTTGTGAACTCCTTACACTTCGACTGAGATCCAAAATCGACACAAAATGTTTTGGTGATTTTGGGGTTTTAGTTGGGATTTTTGAATCGATCAACAATTTGAGATTTTCGTTTTTGATTTGATAATTTATTTTGAATTGTTTAATTCGCTAATGATGGAGGGACTCTTTTTCTTTTGCCATGGAATTTTCGAAACGAAAATGATTGGGCCAAGATAAAACAAACTGAAAACACAATCATGAGGCCCAAAGCTCAATCTAGTCTAAATCCACACGGGAAGCGTTTTCTTGACACTCAAATATGTTCAACACAAATTAAGTGTGCCAAAATTATTCATTTTGTTTAACAAAATAAAAAAATTATTCATTTTATATATACAAAGTGTTGCAGTCATATTTAGAATAGAAATATGATTGTGTAAATCATAGCGTATCTAGAAATATCTTTGAATGTTCCCTTTAGTAGTTCATATCCTATTAGAGTTGTAATCCTAAAAAGGGTAAGGATTTAACATATCCTACTACTATAAATAAAAGCATAATGGGGTGATACAACATATACCTCACAAGTAAATCTCTCTCTTCTTTTTCTTATTGCCGCCGGCCACCCTCTCTTTATTCCCTTAGAATAGTTCAGTCAAATAGGTCTATGACATGCTGTCAGCACACTCTTGCCAGAAGCTAAGGAATTGAAGGATCGTAGGAGGAGGCTCTCTTCTTCGAAATTCAAAGGCTTTTATTTGTTTTCTGCCAATCAGGTACGCTTAAAATAAAGTAAAATATTTGAAATGACCATGAAACATGAAAACATTCCCCATGATGCATATATATATGTTTCATGCATTACGCAATTATATTGTTATGTGGAATTTGTGAGTCAAAGCATATAAATCAATTACAAGCAATTTAGGATTTTTCAAACCCTAGAGATGTTTTTTTTGGGGGGGGGGGGGGAGAGGAAAAATCTAGGATTATGCAGCACGGCAACCGCACTGCCGTGGCACCACTGGCCTGACCTGTAGCCCAGCTGCATAGAGCATATCATGGAATAGTGTCGTTTTGACACCTTAGACCACACAGCAGCAGCCCTTCGGGCTTTGATGTTCACACATAGAGGCACCAGGCCTTCGGCCTAGTAGGCTTACAATGGCCTGAAGTTTTTCAGCCTAAACCAAGAAGCCTGTAACTCTTCTTGGCTCTATCCCGCGTGTCCCTGGCCTATCTTCAGCAGCCCACTCTCCCCAACCCAAAAACCCGAAACCCAACTTCAATTGGGCTTCCCTACACCAACCCACATGCCATCACACGCTAGGCATACACCCGTGCATGGCTTTAAGCCCAAAGCTAGCAGCTTTTGCTGCTGGGCTCCTTAGACCACACAACCTAGAGGCTTGCAGCCCTCCCGTGACCCAATAAGCTTGCAGCCGAACTGCATGGCCTATTCTCGTGTTATTTTTTTACCCAATGCCAATTTTTGGCATCCCCGCGTTCTAAATCATGCCCAAATAATTTTTAGGGCACTTTGGTTTACACTAATTCTAATTTAATTATCACTTGGTTTATCACCAACTGAAGCTAATATGTACCGTTTGTCATTATTTTGCTTCTATGATCGACCTCGTTTGGTCCTGGTCCATTAAATAAATTAAGTGACCTACAGTCTATTAATCTGATAATTAATTCAAAATTATTGACCTGAATATCACTTTTGGACATTAACGATTCAATAATTTATTTTTATACTTTGAACCGTTGACATCCTTTCGTAGTCCTGAAGCTCTCACACTTGAGTTCCCGAAGCAACTCAAATCCACTACACTTAAATCAACATATTGCATTATGTGTTCTTGCAGGAACCTCTCATTTATGAACTAATCGTTCATAAAACTAAATTGAATGAGTAGTTTCATATTTAGTGCTTTTGAAACCCAAAGTTTTCATTCAAAACTTACCACATGAAAGCTATAGCTTTCATGCTTAAATTAAACCAATACATGTCTATAGAACTCGAATGTTCTATGATGTATGTCTATGGATTAGCATATGACTAACCACATTTTGTTGTACCCTCTGTTTTAGGGACATATCGAACTTAAACAAGCTTGATTTCATCGCTCTGGAAGTATCTGGAAGAAACTACCTGAAGTATATTCAAGGTGTGAAGCTCCATCTTATGGCACAGGTTATTAAAGCCACCATCGAGGCACCTACCGACGACAAACCCATCGATGAAGCTCAAAAAGCTACGGTAATGATCTTCATTCGAAAACACATCAATTATGCGTTGCAGATCGACTACCTCGATGAGGAGAACCCACACATCCTCTAACATGCTTTGGCTGACCGTTTTGATCATCAGATAGATATTTACTTGCCTGAAGCTAGACATGACTGGCAGCATCTACACTTCCAAGACTTTAAGTCTGTGAATGAATACAACTATGAAATTTGTAGAATCCAATCACTACTTTAAGTTCTATAAAGTGGACTAAACCGAATTAGATCTCCTGAGGAAGACCTATTCGACCTTATATGCCACCAATATTGTCCTGCAGCAACAATATAGGGCACATAAGTTCACCAAATTTTTGGATTTGATCTCTATTTTGCTTATCACTGAAAAATAGAACCAACTTTTAATGAAAAATCATCAAGCTCGACCCACTAGCTTGAACACCGTGCTTGATGTGCATGTGACCAATTCTAGCAACCATAAACGACGAAAAAATAGTCATGGTCGTGGTAATGGGCGGCAAGCCCAACCATGGGCCTAAGGTCAATACAGTCAAAGCCCACCTAAGGGAAGAAATAAGTTTGATAATACCATACGAAACTGAATAGACAATAAATATATATATATATATATGTTGTATTAATTATTATTATTATTATTATTATTATTATAAAATATTTGTGACTGTTGGATTTGATTGGAATTGAATTTGAACCATTCATAAAAACTAAAACACTACTCACTCATAAGTCCTTCCCAATTCCATTTCTCTCTCTTGACTTCGATTGCATCTCTGTTTCTTCTCTAGCTACACCAAACTACACCACACTACACACACCTCTAAATTTATCTTCTTGGGCGACTCTGACTCCCTCTCCCTATTTCTTCTCAACTCCAACTTCCTTTGACATGACTCAATCTAGATATCCGTATGGAAATCTAAATCAAGTCGTGTTGGGCGACGGCTGTAAAGTGATGCATGCCTAAACATGCATAAAGGATATAAAAATATAAGTTCAAAGTAGGGCCTACAGAAATTTGGCATAGTTGGCCTTGAAATATGATTAAAACCAACATGCATAAAGAGTAGTTCACAGTTATTCAACAACAAAACATCCTCAAATGGCCATACCTAATGGGTCTTAGACCCTCCATTACAGCATGTTCATAGTTTAGTGCATAAGTATTAATGTGCATGCGGAAACCAAAGTATTCAAAAGAAAGTTTACATGTTCCATGCGTAGATGGATTTGCTACATAAGTTCTACAAAAAGGATAAGTCTCCCTCATTTTTGGGAGTATGTCAGAGCTACCGGGTAATTTTTAGGAGTATGTCAGAGCTACCTACTAATCCTCGACGTCTACCCAATCATCGAAGTGAAAACAAGAAGTTAGTGGACAAAAAAGGAAGCTTAAAGTTTTATAAGAAACCCTTTTTCTTTATAAAAACCCATTTTATGAAAACAAGTCCACTCACAAGGACCTCGGTATGTTCTCATCTTGAGGAGGATGCTGTATGAAGTGTAGACTTTATGGAAGAGCTTGCACCTACACAAGCCATTTTTACTTAAAACAGTGATAGCTCAATATGGACAGATTCCAACAAATGTGTAAATTTCAAACCTGCACGAAAATGAAACTTAGAATAGGGAATTTCTACTTACATATTTTGGAAGTCCATGAAGGGAAGGGTACTCCTCCTTCTTGGGTCAAGACTTGACTCTAGCAACGACAAAGAACCACCAAAAACCATCTAAATTTCTAGGCTCCAATATCTGTGTATACTTCATTTTAATGTGTAAGTATGGTATCAAATGAAGAGGGCTTCGATATGAATCTATAGCCTCCAACCTTGAGCAATTTGGTTACTGTATGAGAAAGTTAGCTATAAGCCCCATCCCCTCCTCCCAAAAAAAAAAAAAAATCAATTATTGAGCTAAAAAAAGCTTTGGGGAGAAAATAATCATTTGGGCCAGTTCCCCTCAAAAATTAAGCCACATGCAACAACACGCCAAACAAAAATAGGTGGGGCCATGTGAACAGGTTTGTTGGCCACTATATAATAGAGCCAACGACTCTTTGGCTAATCATCGGTCCAAATAATATGACCATTGGTTGATCCAATAGTCATATTTCAAACCTTTTTTTTCATACTTCTAATCCAAATGCTGTGATCAAATGAGATCAAATCTAACAGTAAAAAAAACCATCCAATGACGCAAATTTAAATCTAATGCCTTAAATAATTTAAAAATTATTTAACTCAAATTTCACCTGAAAAACTCTATAAATACCTAGGTTGTGTGATTTTCATTATCTATAGAACTTAAATATTTTTTTGTTATTGTTCATAAAAACAAATAGTATAATCTACATAAATTTTATTTTAAAAAGTTATCTAAAACTTAGGATAAAATCATTCTTTAATAATTTCGAGCTAAAATTTTAAGTCATAACCATTGAAGAAGAAATGTTGTTTTTGAGTTATTGTCACATTCCGATTGGGATTGTAACATCCCACATCGCCCATGGAAGTGGATCCTATAAGTTTTATATGTATATGCCCACCTCCATTTAGCACGAGACCTTTTGGGAGCTTACTGGCTTCGGGTTCCGTAGAAACTCCGAAGTTAAGCGAGTTCGTGCAAGAGCAATGCCATGATGGGTGACCCACTGGGAAGTTCTCGTCTGAGTTCCCAGAAAAAAAAAACCGTGAGGGCGTGGTTGGGGCCCAAAGTGGACAATATCGTGCTTATGGTGGAGTCGAGCCCGGGATGTGGTGGGGGCCCGGGCCGGGATGCGATAATTTGGTATCAAAGCCAATCTCTGGGCGGAAGTGTGTCAACGATGATGTCGGGCCCCTAAGGGGGTGGATTGTAACATCCCACATCGCTTAAGGAAATGGATCTTGTAAGCCTTATGTGTATATATGCGCACCTTCATTTAGTACGAAGCCTTTTGGGAGCTCACTGGCTTCGGGTTCCGTAGGTTCGCGCGAGAGCAATCTCATGATGGGTGATCCACTGGGAAGTTCTCATATGAGTTCCCAGAAACAAAACTGTGTGGGTGTGGTCGGGACCCAAAGCGGACAATATCGTGCTACGGTGGAGTTGAGCCCGGGATGTGGTGAGGGCCCGGGCCGGGATATGGCAGTTATGGTTTAAAATTTTCTAGCTTAAATGTTTTAGTTTTATCTCATATGTAACGACCTATCCCCAAAAATTATAGTTTTTATAATTTTAAAACATAAATTTACGAAAATGCCCTTCGAGGCAAATACGTTGATTTTTGTTGACCACCTTGTCGTGTCACGTAAGATTTGTTTTTTTGACGTATCCTCATAGTACTCGTCGCTACGGATGCATGGGTGCAAACAGATTTGAATTCAAAGCTAAAACCAAGCTTCTACGAAATTTTAAACGTAAGGTAATTTCACAAGTGGAGATTTTTTATCCCACCTTTGGACCACTCACAGGTTGCCATGTGGCAGATTTCTCCCCAATTTTCTGGAGGTTTCTTTGGTTGGCCCGTGACTTCACCTCCCTTTATTAGTTATCCCTTTTTTGTCATTCAAACATACACACTGACAGCACCTCACCCTCTATCTCCCTTATCATCTTTTTCTCAGCCGCGACCATTCCCTCACCCTAGCTCTCATATTTTGGTCCAAGTATTTTGTCGAAGTGAATGACCCCAAACTTTTTGTCAGCATGCACGCTGTTCATCACACTGCTAGCTTTATACATAATAAAATAAGATAAAATAAGAAGAGATTTGTTCTAGCAGAAAATACTTTTTCTTATCTAAAGGGAAAAAAAAAAAACTATTATATAAGTAGATAAATATTGCGTAAATAAAAAGAACGTAGAGATAGACTCTTGCGTTTCAGGCTCTTCTTCTTGAGTTAAACACCAGAAAACCCTACAAAAAATCATTGGGTTTTACACTTTCTACTGCTTCTGGGTTGGTACAATTGCAGTGCCCTTTTCCTTGATTTTCTAGTAGCAAATCATGACGTCACTATCTCTTCCTCACTCGCTTCCTCGCTCGCCGCCGCTCCTCTCTTCAAACCAACCAAGAATTATCGCTCACTCGTTCAATCAATTCCCTCTCTTTCGATGCTCCGCCAATCTCAGAAACTCCAAAAATCACCAGAATTCCAGAGCCAATGGTCGCGATGGTCGCTCCACTGCCACTCGCCTCCCAGGTTCTAAATTCTACTGATTCAATTTACTGTTGAATGTCTCAAGTACGAAATTTTTTAGCTTCTCCTTGCAAAATTTAGTGCAGAAAACACGGGGTCGCTTTATTATTTTGAACTACAGAGATTTATTTACTTGTTAGGGTTCTATGTTGAATTGTGAGTCTCAAGTGATGCATACGGTTTCGAGGACGTGAATTCCGTTGTATGATTTGTTTTTTTTTTTTTTTTTTTTTTTTTTTTTTTTTTTTTTTTTCAGGTTTGAAGTGTATGACTATAACTTTTTAAAATTTGAATTTTCTTAATATTCAAGCTTAAATGGATTGGGTAGTGAAAACTGAAAAGGTATTCAAAGCCATGCATAGAGGCTATAAGAAAGACAGTCGCAACCACCGAAATCTTGTAGCGGGTTGGAGAGAGCGGATGAGTTGGTTTGTAGATAGTGGCTGTATTTGGGAAAAGATAACCTTCACATCCTGTCTGCAGTGCTGCACACAGACGCATGCATATGGAGAGGAGATGCTAGTTGACTTTATATGTGTTCTCAAAGTAGTTATAATAGGATTACAACTTCAGGAATTGGGCACTTTTGGAGACAAGGATTGGGGTTAGGAGTGCTTATATAAAAAACACTTCTGATCATAAGTGCTTCTGTTAGAAGCATCAAGCATGTCAGAATTTAATAAGCATCCAGGTGATTTCTGGAAATGCACTTGAAAGCGTTTTGTGAAGAAGCACTATTGACTGTTACAAACACAGTCAAAAGTGCTTTTATCCCTTCTGTATCACTACTCTACTTACCATACGTTGTGTATCTATAAGACTATAATGATAGCTCTTGAGGGTGAAAAAAAAAAAAAACTAGCTTTTAGGGATATTGTTTTATTTTTCATCAGAAGTGCTAATGTATCTTGCTGATTCTATGATGCCGTATTTCATATGATCTCCCGGTTGTGCAAGGTTTCAATTTAGTTGTACTGACACCGGTTATTTTATGATACTATTGTAGCAAAGTTAGAAGTGGAACGTTTTGCGAGCATTTCTTCTTCGAGTACCCAAGAAACATCTTCAGTTGGTGTCAACCCACAAATCTCAGTAGCTCCCCCACCCACAAATGTGTAATGATTTGTTTTCTTCACTTCCTCAGTTTTTTATATATTTTATGGCTAATCATGTATTTTATGAGCTTTTCGGTTGCTTCCTGTTTCCTCCTTGTGCCTAAACGTTCATAACCATTTCATATTTACACCTTTATTTACCTTTTATGTTCTAGAGGGTCGCCTTTGTTTTGGATTGGTGTTGGTGTTGGGCTTTCAGCACTATTTTCATGGGTGAGAACATGGATTGTTACATGCTCTTTGTTTGAGTTGGATAAAATGAATTTTTATTAGACCATTTTACCTTTGCTGCATGTTTGACAAGTTAATTTTAATGACAGGTGGCTACGAGATTAAAGGTGCGTCCTTTCCTCTTTATGGATCTTTTTTTTTTTTTTTTTTTTCAATTACGGGATTTTAATATCGTTGGGTTTGTGTAAAAAGACAATATTTGAGTTGAGTGCCCTTAACATGTTTAATGTTTGTGAAAGGACATTTTTCAAATTGCCATCATCATATGTATGCGAGTACATATGTTAAAATGAATAAGAGTGTGTTTATTGTGTCACCCACAAAATCTAGCCTCACACTCTTTTGATATTTGAGTTTTGTTTTAATTTAAACTTGCCTTCAATATTCTTTCAGAACTATGGAATGCAACAGGCTTTTAAGACTTTGATGGGTCAAATGAATCCACAAGATAGCCAGTTCAACAATGCTGGATTTTCTCCTGGGTCACCTTTTCCAATTCCATCAGCTTCAGGATCAGAGCCTTTTGGCTCACCTTTTCCACCTACTTCTCAACATTCGACAGTAGATGCATCTGCAACCAGAGTAGATGCAGCACCATCCGCACCAGCAGCACCAGCCTCATCAGCCACAGAAGCCACACCAACCACACCGATCACATCGACTACACCATCCACCCCCACCACTAATGTCAAAAGTGACTCTGAACTAAATAAAAAGTCAAACAGATTTGGTAAGCCCTTACCATGCTCTCATTTATATTTCATAGAGAATTTGTATGTATGGGAAGAAAGCAACCTTTACTTTTCCATGTTTTCCTCACCTTTACTTTTCCATGTTTTATGCTCCATGTTTTCCTCACCTTTACTTTTCCATGTTTTATGCTCCATGTTTTCTGCTTGTCCTCCCTTTCTTTCGGCTTCTGTTTTTCTTCCGCTCATTTATATGAGCTTCTTCCCTTGTACTTGTTTTTACATAATACAAAATATAGACATTCAAAATTCAATATGGTATCAGAGCAGTGACCCTAACCGGCCTGTCTCTGTGATGTTCTCTTGAGAGATTTGTGAGCTTCTTGTCCTTCAATCATGGCTGAAGAAAGCTTAGTAAATTTGGAAGGAGACGGCTTTCATGCTACTCCACCATCACCACACTCAGATATTGATATCAACCCAAATCAACGTCTTAGTTCTGTCTTGCTAAATGAGTTTAACTATCTTCCATGGGAGAGAGCAGTTTCTCTTGCTCTGGGAGGACGATCAAAGCTTGGTTATGTTAATGGTGCTATTCCAATGCCTGAGACTACCTCACCGGAGTATGATGCTTGGCTATGCAAAGACCAGTTGGTCATGTCGTGGCTACTCAATTCCATGGATCGTAAGATTGCAGAAATTTTTAGCTATGCTGAATCCTCCATGACTCTTTGGAAAAATCTTAAGGAAATGTATGGAAATCAGAACAATGCGGCTAGAGTGTTTCAGTTAAAGAAGGACATTGCTGGTCTGCAACAGGAAGGGAAACCATTTGTGCAACATCTTGGAAAGCTGACCACTATGTGGAACGAGCTGAATGTGTATCGACCACACACCATCGACGCTGCTGTGCTAACTAAAAGAGCCGAGGAAGACAAAATATTCCAACTCCTAGCAAGTCTGAGTCCTGAATTCGAAGATCTTCGAAGTCATATCCTCATGAATTCCGACCTGCCTTCTTTTTCAAGTGTGTGTGCCACAATTCAAAGAGAAGAGGTTCGAAGGAAAGTCATGACCTTGGACATGAAGGCAAATATACCAGAAGCTAGGGCTTACTTCTCTAACCAAAAACTTGGTGAGGAGAGAGGCTACAAAGGAAAGAAAACTGGCTTAAAATGTAGCCATTGTGATGCTGGTGGGCACTCAAGAGATCGATGCTGGATTCTTCATCCAGAGTTAAAACCAAAGTTTCCTAGGGATAACAAAGGTGTCTCGAAAGGCTCGTACAACCCTTCTTACAAGGCAAATCATGTTGCCACAACTTCTTCTGATGGAGCACTGAAGTTCACCACTAATCCAGCTGCACTGATCAACGAGTTTGCTATGTTTCTTCACAAGAAACAAGGTCTTGGAGATAGTGAAGGACCACTAAATCAGTGTGACAACAATCAAACTGCACTACTAAGACAGTTTGCTGGCTTCCTGGCTGGAAATGAAGGCGTGGTACAAAGGGACATCCCAGGTATCTTACACTCCTTCTCAACTGCTCTCAACATTGGTAATGTGCATGATTATTGGATTATAGATTCTGGAGCCACTGATCATATGACTAACAAGTCTACAAACTTGCATAAATTTGAAAAATTTTCTATTCCATCCCAAGTGTCAGTTGCCAATGGAAAAAATGCTATGGTTGTGGGAAAAGGAAAAATACATTTGATCTCAAGTGATGTCGAGTCTGAGGCTCTTTATGTTCCCTCATTCCCTTTTCAACTTTTATCTGTTAGCAAGATCACAAACTCATTAAATTGTCTTGCCATTTTCTCTCCCAAAAATGTGATCTTTCAGGATGTAGTCACCAAGAAGACGATTGGTGAAGGATTTTTCTTAAATGGTCTCTACTATCTTTCCAAGCATATTCAAGTTCCCAAGGTTTTTCAAGTCACTTCAAGCTTAGCTCAAGAACAACAACTTTGGCACCAACGCCTAGCACATTCTTCTGAAAAAGTTCTATCCACCTTGTTCCCAAATATGTGCAAAGTTACAAGTCCTTGTGATGTTTGTCATTTTTCTAAGTTTACTAGATTACCATTTACTTCCTCTTTGTCTAGGGCTAGTAACCCTTTTGAAATTGTGCATTCCGATGTTTGGGGACCAACTATAGAGTCTTTTGATGGATACAAATATTTTGTAACTTTTGTGGATGATTTCACAAGGATTACTTGGTTGTATCTTTTGAAATTTAAAAGTGAAGTGATGGAAGTTTTTCAAGATTTTCATAGACTTGTGGCCAACCAATTTGCTTCTAAAATTCATATTTTACGATCAGATAACAGCACAGAATATATGTCTCATAACATGTCACACTACTTGAGCACGCATGTTATATTACACCAAACAAGCTGTGTTGGAACACCTCAACAAAATGGGGTGGCCGAGAGGAAGAATAGAGATCTACTTGAGAAGACTAGAGCTCTTATGTTTCACATGAATGTGCCTAAAAAGTTTTGGTCTCAAGGAGTCCTTACTGCGGCATATCTCATCAATAGATTGCCTAGTAAAGTGTTGAATTTTAAATCACCTTATGAGGTCTTGAAAAATAGAAAGATCAACTTTTCCCATTTGAGAGTCTTTGGGTGTACATGCTTTGTTCACATTCAAACTCAAAATCGTGACAAGCTAGACCCAAGGGCTGCCAAATGTGTCTTTCTAGGTTATTCATCTACCCAAAAAGGTTACAAGTGCTATAATTCAACAACTAGAAAAATGGTTGTTTCAAGGGATGTTAAATTTGAAGAACATGTTCCTTACTTCTCACAATCACTGGATTACTCTAGACAGGGGGAGCATTTGATGGACTTATTTCCTTTTCCATATCCAAACGGAGAAGATGCAACATGCACTCCTAGTGATCATGTGCCGGATGATGTTAACCTTCACTCGGTGGAACATCTTGAAGATGAAAACCCTTCCTCATCAGAGATTCACACTGCACCCTCCAGTGATCCTTCCAACCATGATGTTGTTCAAATACCTGTAGTTCAATCTCCTACAGTTCGTCGCAATCCTGCACGAGAGAGGAAACTTCCATCCAAGTTGCATGATTATGTGACCTACACTGCCAGGTATCCCGTGACTGATGTTATTGATTATAGCAAAGTCTCATCTTCTTTCGCTACATTCCTAAGTGCCATTAATGAAGCTCGAGAACCTCAAAGTTTTCAAGAAGCCAATCTTCACAGTGAGTGGAGAAATGCTATGGCAGAGGAGCTTCAAGCCCTCCATGAAAATAACACATGGACTATAGTGAAACTTCCAAAAGGAAATAAGGCAGTGGGGAGTCGTTGGGTGTACAAAACTAAGTTTCATTCAGATGGCACAATCGAAAGGAATAAGGCTCGCTTGGTTGCTCGAGGTTTTACACAAACCTATGGCGTCGATTATAAAGAGACATTTGCTCCGGTGGCAAAAATGAACACTGTTAGAGTATTGTTGTCGGTTGCAATTAACAATGCATGACCTCTCTTTCAAATGGATGTTAAAAATGCTTTCCTGCATAGTGAACTTGAAGAAGAGGTTTACATGAAGCTACCCCCAGGTCATCCTCAATCAAACAATCCAGAAATGGTGTGCAAACTCCATAAATCCATTTATGGTCTCAAGCAAAGTCCACGTGCATGGTATGCCAAGCTCAGTCATGTTCTGGAAAGGGTTGGTTTTTGTCGAAGTATTGCGGATTCTTCCCTATTTGTTCGTTCCAGCTTAGTGGGTAAACTAGTTGTGCTCATTTATGTTGATGATCTAATTGTGACAGGTGATAATATGTCAGAGATTATTGCTCTTAAACAGTATCTCAACAACAAGTTTGCTATCAAGGATCTTGGCACTCTCAAATACTTTCTGGGCATCGAGATGGCACACTCTCACAAGGGTTTCTTCCTCAACCAACGCAAGTATGTCATGGATCTTCTTCACGAAGCAAAAATGACAGATTGCAAGCCTGCTCGTACCCCCTTGGATAGCAACTTGAAGCTAAAAACTCACGGTGATCCAGTTCCCAATTTAAGTTACTATCAAAGAATGGTTGGCAAACTCATTTATCTGACTATCACACGTCCTGATATATCATATGCTGTCAGCATTGTTAGCCAGTTTATGCACTCTCCAAGCATGGATCATTTGAAGATTGTTCATCGTGTGCTACGTTATCTTAAGGGTTCCATTGGTAGAGGAATTCTTATGCGCAACAATAGTCACACTCAGATCTCAGGCTATACCGATGCTGACTGGGCAGGCAATTCTCTCGATCGCAAGTCTACCACTGGGTTTTGTACGTTTGTGGGAGGCAACCTAGTTACCTGGAAAAGCAAGAAACAAAGTGTTGTTGCACGCTCTAGTGCAGAGGCAGAGTATCGTGCTATGGCGTCCACTGCTTGTGAACTTATTTGGCTCAAAAGCCTTCTGTTGACTTTAGGTTTTCCTCATCAACAACCCATGTCCCTACACTGTGATAATCAGGCCGCGATGCACATTGCATCGAATCCTGTATTCCATGAGCGAACTAAACATATTGAAGTTGATTGTCACTACGTCAGAAATCAAGTTCAGTCCAAGGTGATCGACACTCACTACACGCGCAGTCATGATCAACTTGCGGATATTTTCACAAAAGGATTACCCTCTGCTGATTTTCAACGTCTTTTGTTCAAGCTTGGATCAATTAATCCCTTTGATCCAGCTTGAGGGGGAGTATCGGAAGAAAGCAACCTTTACTTTTCCATGTTTTCCTCACCTTTACTTTTCCATGTTTTATGCTCCATGTTTTCTGCTTGTCCTCCCTTTCTTTCGGCTTCTGTTTTTCTTCCGCTCATTTATATGAGCTTCTTCCCTTGTACTTGTTTTTACATAATACAAAATATAGACATTCAAAATTCAATAATATGGTTTAATTTTCTCAATCTGAAATTTGTTTCTGCTCTACAAAGGAAATTGTCTCTGACCTAGAATATTTTTTGTTATTAATAATCCTTATGGCCTTCAATATACGTATCTTCTTGTTTTTCTGTTGCTTCTTTTTATTTTCCTTTCTCTTGGGATCCAAATCTATGGTTTTAATTCCCTTTTCAATGTTCCAATATATTTGTTGTAGTAAATTTAAGTTACCGAAGTAGCCATGAAAGTAAAACAGGGAATTCACTTCTATAGTGGCTGGGACTTTATTTTATTTTATTTTCTAAATATATGTGGGCATTCTAAAGTATCATTTATTGACTGCTGCAAGAACATGAACTATCTATATCTGAGGTATCATATCATATACTGATTTTTGCGAGACATCATGTTAAGCGTTGAAACCTTTTTGTTTTGGGCGATAAATTAAGTCATTACTGGGAATTATCATACTTATAAAGATATATGTCTGGGAGATGTCTTTAATTGTTCAACAAAGTAGTCACAAATTGGGAAGGAAGGTAAGTTGCTAATGGTTTGGACAACACAACACTTGGTCCATCTGTTAATTGTTGGGCTTCTGGTAGTGGATGGTTGGATCATTGAACCGCATTGCATGGTGGCTCAGTGAGATCCATTTTGATTCTTCTCACAAGAGATTCATATTAACGAAGGCACTCAATCTATATATGCTACTCGCAGGTGATCACTGTAATAAGGGGACTACATACATACATACATATATATATATATATATATATATATATTTATTAATTTATATGAAAAAAAAAGATGCATAGATAACTTAGATGAATAGTTATGTAACATATATTTGTTCTATTAATCTAAGGCGTGCAAGGCTTATCTTGTAATATGTTAGTAGTTGTGTTATTTTTCGTTTATATGAATCCATGGTATGATGTTTCTGTTGCACAGGCAGGAGTAATAAGTGGACGCCATTTGATTATAAACAGAGCTGATCTGATTTCAAGGCAGATTGCTGTTTATGGGTGGTTTTCAAAAAGTATGATTGACAAACAATCAAGGCTAAATGTGTGATTGCAATGATGTTTTTTTCTTAGGAAGAAACAAATTTTTACTGCAAAGAAACAATAAAAATGCAAGAGCGGACAAGAAGTCCGCAAGAGCACAAACAAAACAGGATAAATAGCAACATCACCCTGAACACTTAGAAACTATGAAAACAGCACAAAACTAACTAATGGTTCCAGTTACGCCAAATTTCTGAAAAAAGACAAATCTAGTTACCGATGCCCACAGAGATAACCATAACCAAACTTTATCCCAAAGATCCTCCCTTCCACTGACTTTGTAGTCCTAAAAAGGTTAGCTTGTTTCTTTCCATCCAAATGACCCAAAAGATAGCTAAAAGTATACATCCCCATAAGACATTGATTTCTTCCCCTTTTGTGATAATTTATGTTTCTCTGCCATAAAAGGATAAAAATCCCTGGGTAAAACCCAACTGATACCAAACTCCCTAAACAACTTCAGCCATAGATTTAAAGCCACTGGACAGTGAAGAAACAAATGATCAACTGACTCTGAACTTTTCTTGCGTAACGCACCAATCAGGTTGTAGACATGAACTAGGTCTCCGTTTTTGGAGCATGTCACAAGTATTAACCTTCCCATGAGCCACTAACTAAGTAAAAACCTTCACTCATTAGGTACTTTAGATTCCAAACCAGGCCATAAGTCTGGAAAACCCTATCTGCACCGTTAGGAAATCGCAATAAGATTTAACAGAGAAGCTTCCTGAAGAATCAAGTATCCAATTTCTTGCGTCAACCCTTGAAGGGTGAATGCGAGCCTGATTCAAACTTGTCAAGAAAGATGACAACTCGTCTAATTCCACATCACGCAAATTCCTTCGAAAGCCAATGTCCCAATTCATCGAACAATTTCCATGATGTTTGAACTCGCAAAATCTTTTTTGAAATGATCTTGGGGGCTTGAATTGCAACGGAGGCCTTAGATATGTCATAGGCAGTTGCAAGCGTTGCAGAGCTTTTGATATGCATCCTGCTTGTGCATTCATGTCTGCATGTGTGCTTGTGTTTATTTTTGTGAAATTGTGGGTGTTTGTGCATTGTCTGCATACAACTGTGGTGGTTGGTCATATGACCTGTCTTATATTAACACATACAGGAATATTGTCAATACCTTAAGCTTTTACTGTAGTGAATAGATTGAAAATTTCTATAACAAATTAAGGCCATCAATTCTTCTACTGATTTTTTACAAGATAGTCTTATTTGGACAATGAAATGTTTTCTTATGAAAGTTTCTTGTTGAAGATGCTAAATTTATGTTCTACTCACAGCTTTTGTAGATGTTACTCCAGAAGAAACAGAACAGGAGTCCTTTCGAAAGTAGCTTCAAAGATGTTTCTGAAGTAAGTTCATCTAAGGGTACCCAGAATGATGTGTTTTTAGTTAATCTTCAAATTTAACTATTTCCAAACTTCATAAAGGTTTCTCAAAATGGAGCTGCTTTTAAGCAGGGGGCAGATTCTTTCACCAGTTCCCAATCTACTGGTATGTAAAGAGTCATTTGACACTTTTGCAGTCTCTCAGAATTCCAGCCCATGCTTTGCTATAGATTTAATCTCAAATTTTTTGGTAGCTTCGTTGTGACAAAGGCCATCTTTATCTGAAGACTATTGAACTGCTTATGCTAAATTTCGCCTGCTCCACATGGGATAATGGTTCTAGAGTTATAGTTATGTAAAGACTCATGCATGGAGCTGATCAAGGATTGGGCTGGCCTGAGCCCAACCCTGGGAAATTAGGGCTGCCCCTCCAAAAAAAAAAAAAAAAAAAAAGACCTAGAATGAGGCACAACTTTTTTATACATTTGTTTGTCAATGTTGACACCAAAACTTGTATATAGATAAATTGAAAAATAAATAGCTAATAGATACACCTCTCTCAAGGAAATTGTCTGAAACTACTGACCGAAAATATGCCATTTAAATTAAATAGTCGCATCGGTCTGTTAAGATAGTGCTTACTTATGTGGAAACATTCGTTTAGTCTTTTGCCAGGTGAGAGGATTGCACAACTGTGTCGTAAATGGATATGAATAATCTTGATTGCATTACTGTGTAAATCTAATCAATATGGCTTGAAGTGGCTACGATTTGCATTTTTGGAATCCAGTCAGACAGCTTAATTATGTTTTTGTTTATTAATGGATAGGAAAAGCAAAGCCTGCGATGTCAGTGGAAGCGTTGGAGAAAATGTTGGAAGATCCGACAGTGCAGAAGATGGTTTATCCGTGATATACCTTCTTATCTTATGTGCTTACTACTTGTGAAAAATGATTTTGTTCTAGTGTCTCATCATGGTTGAATCTAGCAAATTAGCCACGTATCACTTAAATACCTCTGTGAATTTTTGAAATTAATTGGTATTTTGATTGGGTTGGAATAAGATTTTATCAAATTTTCAATGTATGCAATAACAATTTAAATCCAGCTTGAACATATTTATTTTTGGTTATTCAATTCCTTTACCACTTAATTTTTTAAGCTTGTAAAAAATATTCTGTCATTTGGACGAGGATAACTTATTAACTAATTTAAACTAAAAAGTTTTTGGTCTGCTGTTCAGGAATCCCATTTGTCAGTAAAAAATTTAACCTTCATAGGAAGATGGTCGTCCTTCGGCAAAGACCTCACATTGTTTAGTTTCATTATCAAATTTCTTGTTCATTCCTTTCATTCATTTATTGGAATGTTTTTCTGATGATAAAAGCTGATCTCAAGAGTTTCCTTTTTAAGTCTACATCATATGTTGTAATAATCTTCTAGTTGTCGGTATTCTTTGCTTCCCCTCTCCCCTCAATTTGATTTTTTTTAATTTGATGCCGTCTCATGAATGTTAGACTTAACATCAACATACTCCTCTAGATGAACTATAACATGTTTTTCTAATAAAGATTAATTTTCTTCATATCCTTGTAGCTATTTACCTGAGGAGATGAGGAATCCTACCACTTTCAAATGTAAGTCCATCCTTCAGTAACATTGCTTTTCCTAAGATTATGGGTATTTAAGTTCTAGCCTTGATCTGGCTCATAACGATAAATATTGTTTTCATTTTGATAGTTATTTGTTCACACCTGGTAAGGCTAATAGCAGTCCTATGCCTGTTTGAAGAAATGTCTATGTTTATGTTGTCCTATGTCGTAGCTGATCTCATAATATCTGATCTTTTTTTTTCAAATCTACCTAGAACCTTTTCCTTCTTTTTTAGTACTCTTTTTTTTGTTATAATAACATGTACTTGTGGGTGGTTGTTTCCACCATTCCATTTCTTTTTTTCGTTGGCATTGAGTTCATTTTGTGTCTCTTGAGTCTTTACCTGTAGCTTTTGATCATTAGTCTGATTATGATGGTCATCATTTGATAGGGATGCTACAAAATCCACAGTATCGCCAACAGCTAGAGGACATGCTGTAAGTTCTTTTTCTTGGCTCTATTTACATTTGATATTGCTGGGAGCTTTTTATTCTCATATTTGTACTCTGGGCATTTTTTGCTTTATATGTTGATGTAGCGAAACAATATTTTTGGTCTCTGAAGTTTGACCCAAATTTTGATTTTGTTCTCATATTCTCAACCAAATCCCTCCATTTTTTAAAAGTGGATTAATGTTTACTGAAACAGAAAACAAAAATAATGGTGCAAAATCATTCTCACATCTACTACAGCTGTACTAACTTGCCTGAAATAAAGTCATAAGTCGGCTAATTAAAGTCATAGGGCGCATGTGCATGGCTTGTTCTGACATCCTGTGATACTTTAATTTCTCATGAAGCAGAAATTGTATCAAGTTGGCATTCATGTAACAAACTTTGACCATAGTTGACACACCGTTGCTTCAATACAAAAGAGACTTGATTTAGTTAGTGATCTTAATTACATGTATATCTGAAGGACCATGCTTTTTAGTCAAGCATGTTATAGGATGTAATGTTCCAGAATTTTGAACCCTTGTATCTCTGGAATTAATACAGAAGAAATAATGTCCGCTAAACTTTAGGACAAACATTTTGTTACCAGAGAAGGCTGCAGCAGTGTGATGCTTATGTTAAACAAGATATTCTAATCTTTGTCCAATTAATTTCTCTTTTCTTTTTCATGCTTGATGTTTGTTTCAGAAATAATATGGGAGGAAGCAGTGAATGGGACAATCGTATGATGGATTCATTGAAAAATTTTGATCTTAGCAGTCCTGAGGTTAAGCAGCAGTTTGGTAAGTGTGAAGTACCAAGTCTTGTTAGATTTCAGTACATTCTAATTAAATTTTAATCGCTCTAGTGAATGGCATTCAATTACAAATTTAATTTTGTGGCTACTTCTTCATTTTCCTGATTAAATTTGATAATTCCATAAATCTGGAAGTTAGATCAGTTCCATCTTGGTAGAATTATGTGCTAGTGACGAGGTTGATTGGATAATTTTAGTATAAACCAAGTTTAAGATTGAGTCATTTACATCATTCTTGAACTTTTTATTATTTGTTCGTTTCTTATTATTTAATTTTTCCTTTTGAAATGTTCTTAGTTCTCAATTGTGTATGCTTTTTTTGGGTTTCGATTGATGAACACCATTTTTAATGACTTTCCTTAATATGTTGATATTTATAAATTTTTCCGGCACTCGTTGGCTCCAAAACTCTCATTTAAGAATAAAATCTTGCTAAAAAACATGAGAATAGATTTATTTTTCTCCCGTGGTGTGGGAAATCTTGGTATAAATGCATAAGGAGAACAGATAATTCATGCAGCATGTATTTTCTTTAATTCTTCTATGTTTATATTTTGCAGACCAAATTGGGCTTTCACCTGAGGAAGTAATTTCTAAAATAATGGCCAATCCTGAAGTTGCTATGGCGTTTCAAAACCCAAGAGTTCAAGCAGCAATCATGGATGTATGTATTTCCAATGTACTTGGATTTAATTTAGAATGTCACTTGTTACCCACATTTCTGTTTATCCGCGTATTGACCTTGGGTAAAACTATGTTGAAGAACAATGTTTAAAAACACAAATTTTTTTGCCAAAATATACAACAATATCAACAACAACGAAGCCTTTTCCCGCTAAGTGAGGTCGGCTGTGTGAATCCTAGAACGCCATTGCGCCTGGTTCTGTGCCAAGTCTTCCGTTAGATACAAGTACAGTCTTTTCTTAGAGTCTCTTCCAAAGTCTTCCTAGATTTTCCTCTACCCCTTCGGCCCTGAACCTCTGTCTCGTAATCGCATATTCTAACCGGAGTGTCAATAGGCCTTCGTTTCACATGTCCAAACCACCGTAACCGATTTTCTCTCATCTTTCCTTCAAATTCGGCTACTCCTACTTTACCTCGGATATCCTCATTCCTAATCTTATCCTTTCTCGTGTGTCCACACATCCAACGAAGCATTCTCATCTCTGCTACACCCATTTTATGTACGTGTTGATGCTTCACCGCCCTGCATTCTCATGTTTAGCCAAAATATGAAGATAAAAATGCAAAGAATTATAGTGTTACTGGCCATTGGTGGCCTCACTCTTTGGAAGGTCAGTCCGACTGGCCTCCCACTATGCAGCAGAGTCCTAACCAGTACCATGGTCTAAGTTAAGAAATAGACTTTATGGGAATAGTAGGGGTGGAAAGAGTAAGTTAATACTTTTAAAGTTGGTAGAGGTGGAAAACCGGGTGGGTGGGCAACTGGGAATGGTGGGAGGTAATAACATTACTCTTATATGGCATATACCAAGCCTCTTAAATTATTATGTTTCTTTTGCAGTGTTCACAGAACCCACTGAGCATTGCAAAATATCAAAACGATAAGGAGGTATGTTAGAACTTCTTTACTTCAACTATGATTTCTGATTTGCCTACTTATGTGGTTTCTAGTTGTGCTTATTATTTATTACCCTTCTTATAATATAATATAATATATCCTATCGGTGACGATTTATAGGATTATTATCGAGTATTTTCTGTTCTCTTCTTCCTCATAACTTTAACTGGATAATATCTAACGGAATGTAATTAAGAGCTTTTGGATACATCATAGAAGTACTTTATTAAGACTTTTATTTAGATCAATAAATTTCTTCCATGAGACGTCATATGAGCATACACTGTTGGTTAATTCGTTTGAGATACAAATTCATTATGCAATATTTCAGTAAGTCATATAAAATATTAGCAGAAAGCCCACCAAAGTATGCATGAGTGATCTATACAACTGTGGAACAGTACAATTTTTTAATAATACAATGGGATATTTTGATGTAGATCAAGCAGTAGTATCTGTTCTTCTCTGTTTTTGTTGAGAATCGATGGAAAATGGTTTTTACGCAGCATGCCTTAAGTAAATTCATGTTTGAGTGATCATGTTTTGGGATGAACAATGTACTTCAGAGGGCATTATGTGGTTTTATCAGGCTGGGATGTGGCGTTGATTGCTGTTATGAGTATATTATGTATTAATATAAAGACATCTTCCTGCTTTCTGTTGTCTCAGGTTATGGATGTTTTCAATAAGATATCGGAACTCTTCCCCGGGGTGTCTGGTTCGCCTTAATTTCTATTTATGGACGCTAGCTTCTCGACTTAAACATGGTCTCTATTTATTACGGATGAGTAAGGGAATTTGAGCTTTTCCAATCCTGCGAAACTGAACATGCTTCTCGTACTTGTGCCCATGCATAGCGCGCGATGGGCTCATTTTGCTGCCGTATTTGGAAATATGAGTTGACATCCTTGTAGCGTATTGGACGAACTAAAAGCTTCATGTCCCTTCCTGTAAAAACGAAATGTATATTGGTGTCTGGGATCATCTGTCTAGCAGGCTTTTGTAATGTTGGTTTTGGTAGCTTTGCTCAAGATTTTATGTAGTGAACTGAGAACAATTCGGAATAAAAATTGGTGAGTTTTGCATGGAGACTGTAGAACATTTTGACGTTATGTTTATTTATTTATTTATTTTTTTATGAGTACGATATTCATTCATTGATAAAAGGGCATTACAAATACATATCATGAAGAACTCGGCCTCAAAAGGGTCTTTGCAAACTAGATCTAAAAATAGTACAATAAAGCATATTGATCGCAAAGCAATGAGTAGACATCGAGCACTCTTTCAAGCTCAGAGGTAGCCGCATGATTACATAGATCAATAAACCGTTAGATTTCGTGTTACAAGTAGATCATGTGAGAACAAAATCTCAAACCATAAAATTGGAATAGGGTGCACGATGCCCATGGGTCTATCGCATCACCTGATCACCATCACAATCGTAGAACACCAAATGAGTAGGAGATCCAACAAATCAAACAACTCCGCCCTTCAGACATAGATCACAAAGGGTAGCACACCAAAATGAAAACTTAAAATTAAGCCTCTCTTATAAAGAGCAATCAAACTAGCAAACTCTCCTATAGAGAGAAATCAAACCAAACTCTTAAGACAATTCCTATAAATTATTAAATAGAAACAAAATAAAAAGATAAAATCATGTCGCCACTCCACATCCTTCGAACATCTGAAAGGCATACCACTACACCGGCTAAACCCAAAGTGTCGTCGTACCGACTAAACTCAATCCCAACACAATTCGACATCTTCCATGGATTCCCGCTTCAACCTCATATATGAGGTGATAACTGGATCAAAGGCTTATGTGAACTGTGTACGTGTGTCAAAAGACGACGATTATCACGGTGATTACAGTATTTTCACGGTGACAATTCAAAACCAAATAACGTAAACGAAAAGTGAGAAGGAAGAGATGAAGAATGATTTTTAAGTAGATTGACGCCGACTCCAAACCCAAAGACAGGAGTTGGCGGCAGAGAATTTTTCCTTTAGTTTTTCTCTAGACGGCTAGGGTTTTTTAAATTCTTAAGAATATAGGATGTAGGAATATGTCAAATGGACTTCTAACAATTTGAATGAAAATTTGTTGGTTTTATTCAAGTGACATTACCCAAACAAAGGACCTCAATTGCGGAAAAAAATGTTTTTAACTACTTGAGATATGCTCCTTGCATAATCTAATTTTTTTGGTTGAAACCTTGCATAATATATTCAATTCTTAATGATGGTATATTATTTTTAATGGAATTGTTAATTATAGTATTAACAATTTGAATAAAAGATTTATTTGTCTTAAACAAGTGATATCGAACGGATTACCTCAGTTGCTAAGATGAATACTCTCAGTTACTTGATAAGTTCCCTAGCATAAAAAGTGTTTTTGCTAAGTTGATCATTAAAGGTTAGCTTACAGAATAGACAGTTTTGATCATCAAGCAACATTGTAATTGGATTGCGAAAAAGAGTGACAAGGTAGACCGTAGAAGGAGAAGATTCAAATAAGAAGGTTCTCCCGACATTGGGTCAAGATACAGAACTTCAAAGACTTGGTTCTGGTGTTATACCCTACGACCTTCAGAATTTAGCTCCGACTTTCCAAAATAGCAATGTTGAGTTGCCAGATTTCTGGAAAAAAGGGAATCCACAATGGTAAAATCTTAGCCATCCAAGTGAACTGATTAATGGTTGAAAAGAATTCAGTTTTACTATCGTAGTGTTCAACTATGGCTGTAAAGACTGTCGGTCAACAACGGCATTACCGCCAAATTTTGAACTTTTTTAGAAGCTTTCCACTTGTGTCTGCAATCTCAGGTTCTGCAGTGGTTAGCCTCCGTAGAGATGAGTTGGAGAGATTGTTCATATGGACGCCGGGACCCGAGAATCACATAAATCCTCTCGAGAATTTCACATTATCCGCGAGCCACACACCCTCGTGTTGCCTCTGCAATCAGAGCCACTTGATAAGTAAACAAGATGAATTTTCTAAGTTCTGTTTATTGAAGGAAAGCAGTAATCCTTAATATTTTCAAAACTGAAGCCACACATTGTGCAACAGATAAAAAACAATACCTAATCTTGCAATTTAAAATTGTAATCTCTTGAATCGTATATAAGCCGAAATTTACACAATAAATCAAAATCGTTAAATTAATTATTAGTTAGAATTACGAACTTTTTTTGTTAAATGTGCGCAACCAAATCTATGAATAAGCAAGAAAAAGAAACGAAAATCTCTTGAAAAGGACAATCTAACCTCGGATCAGTGAATTCGTGTCTGCTCTAAATTCAGAACCCTCTCCTTCGGGCATTGGACCTACACCCATATGGAGCCATATGGTGAGACAAAAAGCAGACTTAATGATGCTATGTAAATTAAACAAAAGAGAGACAAGTGTAAATCAGGCTTTATTATCGTAGAAGCATAACTGATGAACCTAAAGCTTACACAGCATTCAACAAGATACCATCAACATTAAGGAACATGAAAATATAAAAATGCAATATCTCATTCTTAAATAGCGTTTGTTCATATGAGTCGTCTATGAGGGAGAAATGTACTTTGAAGTTTTCAGATTTGCTAATTCGATGAACATACAAAAGAAAGATTTGGAAAAGGAAAGAAATGCAAAAGTTTCCCACAAAGCCAAAGGGTTATTCATCAGTCATTACCTTCCATGGCAAGTCCTCCCCTTTTCTAATATATCACGTCTTTTTTCTCATCCATCTCCGAAGTCATGGTGGGAGAAGTTGCAAATCAGCATAATCTTCCTTTCCCAACAAACCCAAATGTAGCCCCGACAAACGTTTTGACCTCTATATAATTTTAAGAGGGACTATCCTCAGCCATTCTTTTGAATCTCCATCCAGCTAAATCCAGGATCTTTTGTGAGTCCTTTAGCTTGCATGCATTTCCGGATTCTTCTCACTTGATCCCACTTCCCTAAAGCTGCATATGCATTTGAGACCAAAACACGATACCCCGTATCATTAGAATTCAATTGAATTATCTGTTCTGAGACACGTGCAACTATATCTGTATCTCCACTAGCTCGACAAGCACTAAGTAAAGATCCCCATATACTCGCATCTGCCTTCATTGGCATTGAATGGATAAAGTCCTCTGCTTGAGCTAATAAGCCACACCGTGAGAGGAGGTCAACTACACAAGCAAAGTGTTCGATCCTAGGTTCAAGTTTGTAGTTCTTCATCCGGTTGAAGTAAGCCAGACCTTCTTCTACTAAACCTGAATGGCTACAAGAAAATATGACAGCAAGGAAAGCAAGATGATCAGGAAGGACACCTGTTGCTTCCATTTCTGCAAAAGTTCTTACTGCTTTCACTCCATCACCATATATCCCATAGGCAGAGCACATGGAGGTCCATGTCACCACATCCTTCTTTCTCATATGCTCAAATACTCGTATGGAGTTTTCCAAACTACCACAGCTAGAATACATTTCTATTAGTGCATTCCCAACAGGGACATCTGAATTAAATCCTAACCTTAAAATGCACCCATGGATCTCTTTTCCTTGTTGCTTTGCGGCAAGCAAGGAACATACAGGCAAGATACCTAACATGGTGGCTGCATCGGGCATCACTCCCTCATTCCTCATTCTACGAATCATTCTTAACCCTAAACTACAATCGTCATAGTGAATGCAAGCAGCAATTATGGTATTCCATGTTACTACATCACGAACTTCCATAATCTCAAATACCAGTAGCGAATCCTTTATTTTGCCACATTTAGCATATATATCTACAAGAGCATTGTTGACGATAACATCTAAATCGAATCCCAATTTTACCGTATCACAGTGGATCATTTTCCCCTTGTCCACATCTGCTAGCTGAGTAGAAATTGACAGGATCATCACATAACTCACAGAGTCCGGTTTCACGCTACTCTTCATCGCCTTAAAAAGGTTGAACCCTTCATCAGAATAACCATTAAGAAAATAACCATTGATCAATGAATTCCACGACACAGCATCCCTACATTCCATATGATCAAATACTTCTTGGGAAGCTAATAAGTTTCCACATTTTGCATACATATCAATAAGTATGTTATTTGCCATAGTATCAAATTGAAAAGCACTTCTTTTCATGTAGTCATGAACATATCTTGCAAGCCTCAGATCCCGTAAATGAGCACAAGCACGGAGAACAGAAGTGATTGTTAGCAAATCAGGTGTAAATTCATTCACCATTTGCTTAAACAAATTTATTGAGTCTTTAAACAACCCCAACTGAGAGTACCCACAAATCACAGTGTTCCAACTAACTGAGTCCCTAACTACCATCTTCTCGAAAAGACTTTGAGCATCTTTTAACCAACCAAAATTGAAGTACATTGAAAGAAGTCCATTGCTTACTAAAACATCAGCATGGACCCCAATCTTCTCAATCAAAGCATGAACTATCTGACCCTCTTTAACATCAACCAAGCCTCCGCACGCAGGCAAAACACCAGATATGGAAAAAGAATCCGGTAACAACCCATCCATTCTCAGCCTACGAAAATTTTCCAAAGCTTCCTCCCAATATCCATTCGAACTGTAGCCCGAAATCACAGTATTCCACGACACAATATCCCTTTCAGGCATTTGCTCAAACAGTTGCCGTGCTTTGCCAAGTTCTCCAAATCTACAATACATGTCTATCACTGCATTACCAATGTACAAGTCTGATCCAAAACCCATTTCGGAAACACGCTGATGAACGATCATGCCCATTTCCAGATCACATAACGCAGCACAGGCATTGATCACTGAAGGAAATGTATACCTATCAGGTCGAACATTCAATTTATCCATTTCAGTGTAGTGGTCAAGAGCTTTTGAGTAAAACCCACTGTGGATAAGCGCTCTGATGATTGAATTCCATAGGTAGGCATTGCTTTTGGGAAGAGCTTGGTGGAAAACTGAGAGGGAGGAAATGGGGTCTCTGAGCTGAGCATATTTGCTTATGAGTTTGCCGGAGAAGAAGACGGAATGGTGTAATCCTGAAGTGACAATCTGTGAGTGGACTTTGTGTAATTCAGTGCAGTTTTTAGCAGAGGAAAGAGCTTTTGAGAATAACGGATACACAACTTCTTTGGTACGGCAACTTATACTGCTCAAGTTTCCAGTTTTCATGAATACGGATCGAAATGACGGCTCCAAGTTTGGCCCCGCGTCGATGTTTTGAAATAACAAGTAAAATTTTACAACGCGAGGATGTGTCCCACAATGGGGTCTCCGGGTTAATATCCCACGCGCTATTTACACCTCGTTTGATACGTCTATCTCCAACTAAGGGGTCTATCTCCAACTAAGGGGTTATGTTTAGTCCGAATCATAGTTATGTAAGAAATTATTTTTAAATAAATAGTGACAAATTATTTTTATATATCATCTTTAATCATATAGATTATTTTTTAGCCCCTTAATAATTTATTATTTTTAAATTTGTCTTTTAACTTTATTGGTTAATTGAATTAAACTACTATATTAAAATAAGTTTAACAGGACATATTTTGAGTATCACTTGTTACTAAATGAATAAGGTTATCCGGATATATTTTGAGTGTCATTTGAATAAATATTGAAAAATTTAAATTTATTATTGGAAGAGGTAAGAGAAGAGTGTGTATGAAAAGAGTGTTTGAGGTGAATAAAATGTGAAGAATTTGATTAAAATGAGGTAAGATAATATGAAATAATTAATATGATGTGAAAAATGGTATAGAAATGACTTAAGTATTTATAGAAAAAAAAATTAGATCTTAGAAATTTTTCTTTTTTAAATTTCTTCCTTAAAAATAAATAAAAAAACCCAACAAATGGGCTGCAACCTGCAAGGCAGGCTCAATATGCCCAGCCCGATGTCTGAATTGCTCTAATTTGCCTTAGTGAGATCCATTTGGTTTTAGCCCAACTTTCCACTAGAGTTGGGTTTTGTTAAAAAAAAAAAAAAAAAAAAGTTTAAATTGGCCTATGATCCTATAGTCATCTCCATTGGAGATAGCCTCTTCTTTAAATTCAGACTAGCTTAGATAGGAGTAGTTTTCCACATTTGGTTGAGTAAGGAATTTTTTTTGGTTTTTTTTTTTTTTTTTTAACAAACATATTATCTACATTAAGGGGTTGGGAAGTAGGCTAAGCCTCATAATGGGCTAGTGAATGTGATTCAAATTCACCTTTGACGAGAATTGAACCTAAGACCTCTCACTTACAAATGAAGAGGAATACTACTAGACTTTAGAACTAAGTGGTGTGAGTAAGGATTATACTTGGAGCAACTTTTCTCCATTAAATTGCCCTTTTAATTGGGTGGTTTAATTCCCACACCTAAGAAAAACAGCTCCGGCCCATCCAAATCAATGGGGCGATTCAATGGGCCCACCCACCCAAGATCTATCGATCAGGCCATTTTTGTCCGCTTTAGTGTAGGAATGGATCCATGATTTTAAACTCGGGAGATCCTAATAATAAAGGTCAAAAAATTTATAGACAATATTGAAAATTTAAATATAATACATTTCATTCAAAAATCATATACAAAACAATATTACAAATTATAAAATCATAATTCAAACGTCCATTACTGTGACATCCCGTCCCGAGATTATAAAAACGTACGTGTGAATTTACGATTTTACCCCCTAGTTCGTTACTTTACGTGTAGTTTTGTGTTGTGTGGTGTTGTAGGACCACACACACACTCATACACTCTCTTTCTCTCCCGGGATTCCCTCACTCTCTGTCTCTTTTCTGTCTCTTTGTCTCTCTCTCTTCTCTCTCTCCCCGAGCTCCCTTCTTCCTCATCTTCTTCTTCCTTCAACATACAAACACACACACAGACAATCAAACCTTCACAAAACAAGAAACCAATTACACCATTGAACTCGTGAGGTTGTGAGGAGCACAACCATACCAATTTCAGGTAAGAAATCTCACGTTTTCACATCGATTCTCTAATGGCCGATTCATGCACTGTTCATGCAAATTTAATCTAGCATGTTTTTGGACATTTTAAGCTTGTAGATGTGTTAGTGAGGTCTCAAGGAGCTTGGGAATGCTTCGTTGGGTGAATTTGGACGTCGGGAAAGCAAGGTTCAAAGTTGGCCGGAGCTTTCGAGGCTTTTTCCGGCGAATCCACGGCGAGTTAGGGGTCAAGGCAGGTATGGATGTGTTTGTCTCGTCAATACCTTCAATTTGATATATTATACGTCGAAAATGGTTAAGAAACGAAGAAGTTATGACACTTTGAAGTTTTTGCAGTTTTCCGGCGTCGGCGACGGCGCCGGCGACGGTGGCTCGCCGGAGAAGAAAGGAGAATATTCCGTTAAGTCTTAACGGAATATTCCTAACGGCAGTAACGGCGTCAGTTAGGGAATATTCCGTTAGTCCAACGGAATATTCCTGACGGCGTTAGTTAACGCCGTCAGTGTGCGTGGCACGTGACCGCGCGTGGGCAGCGCGTAGACTGGGCGCGTGAGGGCGCGTGGGACCTCCAAATTGAATTCTGAAAATTGTCACGCGTTCGTGACGTCGTGTAGATCACCGTGGTATATTCATATACCCAATTTGAGCAACGTATGAGAAAGTTATGGACGAATGTTTGGCGTATGCGCGTTAAATAACGATAATTTGGTTACTTTTTGTATAGGTGAAAAATTATACAGAGGAAGAATGTAACCAATCTAGGGGAGGCTCAGGAACCTACGAGACGTCGATATAATCTGTGAGTGGGCAGTTGTTTTTCAGTATATATATATATACGTATGCTTGACGTATTTCCCAGAAAACGTATTTTAAAAGAAATACGAATTGAATATCCTGTCATATGTGCATTACCATAATTATGCATACTGTTGCATGGTGCTGAGGAGGCCCAGGTAAGCTACTTTTGACATACATTTGATATACGTATAAAATATGTTTGGAATACGATCGAAATACGATGGAAATACATATATACCTATATACGTTTATATTTCCAGAAATTGGTTAGAAAATGTTATTTGTTTCATGCCATGCACCATCTGTTTGTCGTTTATGCATCATCACATGTATTAGTAGTGGCATACATATATATATATGTGTATTTGGTGCTGTGGACGCACAGGTAAGTGCCAGGTAAGTGGTATTCATGTTTGTATTCAGTAGTAGCTTGAGATGATTAGAGAGCTCATAATCTGCACCCCGGTGTTAGTGCTCCCGCCCGTGGCCAGGGCATAGCCTTCACGTGATGTTCACCTCCCGCACCACACGCTCAGCTTGGATCCAAGTCAGGTGCAAAGCCTGTCGTACAGACCACATTAGGTGGTTCCGACTCGTAGGTGACCCGCGATTCGTCGCATAGCTTCACGTGATCGTAGCACTAGAGCGTATATATATTACACCTAGCCTGTCGTACAGACCACATTAGGTGGTTCCGACTCGTGTGCAGATTCAGTTATTGAGTTGAGATTGGAGCTCTATATGCAGTCGTACAGGTCACGTTAGGTGACTCCCGGCTGCCATATTAGATGTTATTGATATGAGTTATGCTTGAGCACTTACATTTCATTATGAGTTTCCGACATGGCATATTCTTGAGCATGAATGATATACCCTTGAGCATGTTTGATATATCTATACATACGTATATATGTTTATTTTCTGGGAAAGTATACATGTTTTACGGAGAGGGGTTACAAAGTTTTGAGAAGTATTTGGACTTGGAAAAGATTTGTTTTACTGACCCACTCAATTTTGGTTTTTGCGCCCCTCCAGGTTCCAGTATATGCAAAGGTGTGGTGACTACGAGGAAAATTCAACGGTGTTCTGACAGAATGGACCAAATGAGGACTCACCTTCGGGTGTTTCATCTTAGAAGTTGTATATTTTAAAGCTTCCGAACTGTGTAAATGGTTACGTCACTCTCACGTGACGGCCAGCATGCCCTCCTTCGGGACGGGGTGTGTCAATTACAATGTTTCATAATTTACTCGGGAGTACCTAAGTTATTGGTCATCTAATGTGGACCACTAAATTTAAAACACCGGTAAAATGAAACTCTCCCCAAACTCCCACTATCTTTCTAACCAAACACACCATTTTTCTCTTACCAGTTTCCAAACATCCACCTTCTCTCTCACTAAGAACACAGCTGCCATACCTCCACCAACTGCCTCCCTCTCCTTTCTCCCGAAGCCATGGCGACTGTACCCCCAAATTTCACCAACCCATGACAGATCATATCCATCTCACTAACCTTATGAAGGAAATTTCACCCATAAGAAAAATTACTAAGGTGGTTGAAATAATTTAGGGAAATTTGGGCTTATGTACTGCCATGAATTCCATGATGAAGAAGTCTGACAATGACGATGGAGTGCTGCCATGGCTTCCACGATAAAAATAGGAGGATTTTGGGGCAGGTTTGATAGATGACAGAGAAAGGTTGGAGGAGAAATGGGTGGCACCAACGGATGAGACCATGGCAGAAGCAAGGATGAGGAAGGCATGAAAGGTCCCTATTTTCTTTCTTCTCCGTGCCCAGTCATCTTCTCCAAGAAGAAGACAGCCATTGCAACCTGCAACCTACAACCTGCACAGACCTCATGTTCGAGTACGAGGGGTCCCTGGAAAATTTCTAGCAACGGTTTAGGATCGCCAACGGGTCTTGGAACCTCCCAGGTCCCTATGTAGATCCGCCACTAAGTAGATTTAATGTTAGCATGAGGTCAACCACGTTTAATTTTTTTTATTTATTCATTTATTTATTATTGCGTTAAGCGCGTGGACTTCACGAGTGAGTGAGGGAGCATGAGCTGATCGAAAAGTGGTAGTGGGACCTGTGCTACAAAAGCACTTAGCCTTCTGCACATGTGGCTGTTGCATGAATCTGACTTTTTTAATTCAGAAAAAATAAAAATAAATGAAAAACATTTGAAAAAAGGGTTTGAGCCCACGTGGCACAATCTGGGTTGTTCGATTGCAGAAAAATGTAAAAAAACAAAAAAAATGAAAGCATCTGAAAATAAAAAAAAATGACTCGCTTGGATTAAAGATCTCATTAGCACGGTATTAGCAATCTCGTTTTTTCACGTGGATTTTTAACAACCCTTCTAGTCTCGTCTTCTTTCTCTTTGCAACAACAGCTGCCTCTAACTAGCAGCAGTAGCAACGACTTGGTCGAGTCAATAATCATCGACAAGCACCAGACGTTGTCGTCGATCTGGTCATTGGACGGTAGTGCTTCCATGACAATGATCATGTTCAGGTGAAAAAGCTCACCCATTGGATTCTAACAGAACCCACCATGGGGTTTTAATTAACAATTTTTTCACCATGAAGATCACATTGAAAGTGTTGTCTCACCACTGGGACCAAGAAAAAATTTGGCCAAAATGAAAATCTAAAAACGAAATCCAGTGAGAAGAATAGAGTATAAATGACAATTGATAGTGAAATATAAATCTAGGTTTTATTAATTATACTATCAAATTTTGGAGTTGACCTATTCACGAAAGTTATAAAAGTTGTCATTACAAGTGATTGCATATATATATATTTTTTTTTTTACATTTTCACACTTCTACGTTAGTATTATTTTTCACTCAAACAAAAAATATTATTCATGAAGGTTTGGAGGATTTTAAAAATTTAAACGACAACGTAACCATCGTCTAAGCATAGAGGATGTAATCACGAGCATTTGTATATTTTTTTCACATTTTTCATACTTGCATATTAATTATTATGAATTTTTATTTATTTTGGGTCCCAATAAAAACACTATTCATGAATGCTTGTAGTGTTTTAAAATTTCAAGCGACGATGTACCCATCGTCAAAATGCAGATGATGCCATCACGTGTTTGCATATTTTTCACAATTGTAAATTAATCATTATGAAATTTTTAATGTGTTTTGAAAATTTTTATACTCTTTAATGGGAGATTAAATACTATGGCTATTGTGGTAATGTTTTTTAGTAGTTTAAATTAATCAAACTAACTTTTCTCTTAACGGGTTGAAACGGACGACCCGTGAGCAAACTGACGGGTTATCCACGGGTAAACCAACAGGTTCTTAATGTTTGACCCTATAACGACTCAATTAGTTAATGTGTTAACTTGAAACTCAGTTATTTTCGTGTCATTTTCGGTCGAGTTAACATATCGTGTAAGAAATTTTCAGGTCTAGAATATCAACACAAAGAGAAGAAGAAAACTCAATAAGAAATTTCAAATTATTAAGTTAGAGAAATATTCCCCGTTGGAAACAAGAGTTGTTATACCAAATACAATGCAATCTCCAAAATTCAGTTTCTTCAAATTCCTCCAGCCACACCACAAATTCAGAAAGCTTTTCCTAAATTCTTCATCATACTTGTGAGAATTATCTACCATAACTCATATGAGCCAATTCCTTAGCAATAAAATCAAACACTACATACCATTACAAAATTCGTGACATCCGTTCAATCAATATCAAGGTCCTACGGCCCTAGATCAAGCAACATATTTTGGTCTTTTTTGACACTTTTGCATATCACATTAGATGACTAATTCTTGTAAAGAATGTATCCCATAGATTGCAACCCTGTTCACTTGTGTAATTATTCTTTCATTGAATTTCAGGGGTTTCCGTGTTCATACCCTCATCCTCGTATGTAAATATATTGTCGTATAAAAAAAAATGAAAATTCATCTTTCCATTCATTTATATTCTGATTCCAAATATGTAAAACGTGTCCCAAGTGGTTTGAGATTTCACATCACAAGATAACAAAATACCCATATGTTCAGAATTGCTAGGTCCTCATTTTGAGGACCGATGAGGTTCTTTTGTATTTGAGCTCTCAGATAATATTATGGTAGATTAAGCTATCAACTTAAACAATCTTTGTTACACCGAAACACAATAATTTTCCAAAGAGATTAAGCTATCAACTTAAACAATCTTTGTTACACCAAAACACAACTTTACGCATGAAATTGGATACGTAAAGTTTTTAAAGTTTATACAACTGGATTTGCTGGGTTAGATATTCGATGGGGCGATTAAGTTTTGTAGATAAAAGGGGTTTAGATAACGTGAAACTATCTTCTCTCTTCCTATTCTTTTTGGTCATATAAATTTGTATTTGTTTCCTTGTAAAAAAATTTATTTAAGTTGATAGCTTAATACTGAAAGTTTAAGCTGATAGCTTAGGATTGCACCTCTGCCCATATGTTACCGGTTAACCTTTATCTGTAGGTCTAAGTTACCATGTGTTCGTTTTTAAGGTTATTTCCAATGGAGAATGTTAAAGGTTTAAAAAACCAAGAAAAACCTGATCTGCCTAAAAACACATCTCCAACTGATGATTGGACTATAACTCTATCGAACCTACTAAGCTATTTTTTGGTTAAAGAAGCATCAAGCTCGCCATATGTAGTCCCCTCCTAATCCTTTTTGTAGGGTCACCTCTTCAGTTGTAATAATTGATTTAATTTCAACCATTAGATTTGAAATCATCTAACGATAATTTAATTAAACTAACTAATAAGTTTAAAGCCTAAACTTTAAATTAACAGTTATTAACCGTTCGGTTTGCTAGGAGATGGTTGAGCATGGCTATAATTCTTGGCGTATGAGAGAAAAGAGAGATTAGGAGGGAGAGATCATTCTGGACGGGGTTTTGCCATAAGTTTGGAGATGAACTGACTACTAAACCTTCTCCGTCGACCGCTTTCTCTCTCTGAATCCTCTCCCGCCTACTGCCTCTCTCTCTCTCAACGTTACAACCACCAGATTCCGCCATTTACAGCCACCAGAATCCTCCTGTTCCTCTCAACCTCTCATCTGAACTCATCCTCTTCTTCCATTGAAGGTTTCTATTGAAGCTCGAACTCTTGGAGTCGTCATCCACTCCCTGATAGCCCATCGTTCGCTACGCTCACTTCCTGTCGCCGCCGTTGGTGTTGGTCCGCCCGATCACTGAGGTAAACTTCAGATTTCATGATTTTTTTTTCTACTTTCCGTGATTCTTAAAATATCAGGAACAAGATTTGGCTGAAATATCTTGCAACTAACTATGTGCCGTTAGTGTAATTTTTGATAAAATATCTTAGAATTTAGGAACAAGCATGGAAATTTAGATTAAATAATAGTACCTATAACGTTTTTTAATCTGGATGATCATTTTTTGTAATGAATTAATCGTCTGTTCGAATCGTTCTGCCCATTTTGGGAGATTCTCGTTGCAATCCAATGTCTGTTGAACTGCTATTCTCATTTTCCTCTGTTTTTCGCGGTAAAGTATTTTCGTTCTATTGTTTTGTTTCAATGTTGATCAATGCTATTTGCTTTTTTCAGGATCAACCTGCTACAAATGACCATATAATTCAATGAGCCCAGACCACACTTCAAATTTCAGTATACGGTCAGTCTATTGCAGGTCCATGTTTTCGGTTCTTAGTTTCCGGTTCAACTCTATGGCCTACCAACTGTTTGGTACTGGTTCTTGGTTTGGGACCTAACCAAGCCAAACTGGAATGAACTTTAAAGCCCTTTCAGCTCCCAAGCATCCCACATCTTTTTTTAATTCTGAATTCATTCCTCAATGGCTATAACTATAGTTTCAAACATGCGAACCAATTGGCTAATTTTGAGAAATGTAGGTCCGAGAACCCGCCCAACCTTCACAAAACACTCACTCTTTCACTCTCATAGACCTCATTCTTTAGCATATTGTCCATCAAATGACCTGGAACTTGGTCTTAAAAGTATGCAATCACAAGAACCCTGTAGTAGTACAAGCCAAGAACTGTTTTCATCAGCTTCTTTATCAGATTCTCTTTTGGTGGAAAATATTTTATTAGGTCTGAAGCAAGGTAACCTCACCTCTTTGCGCAGCTTTATGTTTCGGTTAAACCCGTCTCTTATTGTTGTTCTTTCTTGCTGCCGCGAAAATTTGCAACTGGGTCTGAAGTTTATTGATTTGATTCTGTTAAATAGTCCTGATTTTAAGCATTCGTCACTATCTTTGAGTGCAATGATTCACATGTTGGTGCGTCGTCGAACAGCGTCTGATGCACAAGCTCTGATTCTTAGAATGGTTAGAAAGAGTGGCATTTCGCGTGTTGAAGTAGCAGACTATTTGGTTTCAACTTATAGCAGTTGCGGCTCAAGTTCTTTGTTATTTGATCTGTTTGTTAGAACTTATGTGCAGGCTAAGAAGTTGAGAGAAGGATTTGAGGCGTTTCAGGTGTTTAGAAGCGAGGGAGTTTGTGTTTCGAAAAATGCTTGCAATAGTCTTCTTGGTGGGCTTGTGAAGGTCGGGTGGATTGATTTGGCATGGGTCATATATGGGGAAGTTGTTAGCAGTGGGATTTAGTTAAATGTTTATACACTAAATATAATGGTCAATGCCTCATGCAAAGCTCGCAAAATTGATAGCGTTAAATTATTCTTATCAGATATGGAAGAGAAGGGGGTGTTTTCAGATATTGTGACATTAATACTCTAATCAATGCATATTGTCGTGAAGGGCTTCTCGAAGAAGCTTTTCAGTTAAAAAACTCTTATGTCTTCTAAGGGGTTGAAACCTGAGCTTTTCACGTACAACGCTATCATAAATGGCTTATGTAAAGTAGGAAATTATGCGAGAGCAAAGTAACTTTTGTATGAAATGTTGAAAGGTGGTTGAATCCTGATACTACTACGTAGAATCCAATGCTTGTTGAGAGCTGTAGAAAAGATGATATTTTAGAGGCTGAGGAAATCTTCCATGAAATGTCACATAGGTGTTGTTCCTGATATAGTTAGTTTTAGTTCACTCATTGGGGTTTTTTCGAGGAATAAAAATATTGATCGTGCATTAGTATATTTTCGAGATATGAAAAGGGCAGGCTTGGTTCCAGATAATGTGATCTCCACTATCCTTATAGATGGATATTGTAGAAAGGGAATGGTGTTAGAGGTTTTGAAGTTGCATGATGAAATGCTTGAGCAAGGTTGTGCTATTGATGTGGTAACGTTCAATAAAATTTTAAATGAACTGTGTTGGGAGAGGATGCTTTCTGATACAGATGAGTTTTTTCAATGAAATGGTGAAAAGGGTGTCATTCTTGGTTTTTATACTTTCACAACACTCATTTATGGTTATTGCAAGCATGGGAATATGACTAAATCTCTTAATCTATTTGATCCAATGACAAAAAGAAATATTAAGCCTGATATAGTCACATACAACACATTGTTTAATGGCTTCTGCAAACTAGGTGGAATGGATAAAGCTAAGGAGTTATGGGGTGACATGGTTTCAAGAAGGATACTACCCAATCACATTTCATATGGCATTCTAATCAATGGATTTTGTAGCATGGGGAACGTGCATGAGGCGTTGAGTTTATGGGACCAGATGATTGAAGAAGGTATCAAACCCACTCTAGTTACTTGTAACGCTGTCATCAAAGGTTATTGCCGCTCTGGTGACACAACAAAGGCGGATGAGTTTTTATAGTCAAAATGATTTCAAGAGGAATTGTTCCTGACAGTATTGCTTACAACACTTTGATTAATGGTTATTTAAAAGAAGAGAAGCTTTTTCCTCAGTTAAGGAGATGGAAAAGCAAGGGATATTGTCGGATCAGTTTACATACAATATAATTCTAAATGGGTTCTGTTGGCAAGGTAGAATGCACAAAGCTGAGCTAGTATTGCGGAAGATGATTGAGAAAGGTGTAAAACCTGATAGATCCACTTGTATGTCAATGATAAATGGACATGTGACCAAGGACAATTTGAAGGAGGCATTTCGGTTCCATGATGAAATGCTTCAAAGGGGATTTGCGCCAGATGATGAATTGTAGTTTGCTCTTAGCAGCTGAAGGTGGGATTTTCTCGTAATTCTCATTGCACTCTTCATTTTAATTAGCTACTACTAAAAGTTGTGATCTAATGATCTTATGTTTATATATAATGATCTATTTGTGGGTTTCATTTACTTCTTAGGTTGTCTTTGGTCTAAGTAATTCTCACTACACATGCACCATGTGCAGCAATGACAAACTCCTACTCCATGTCCATAGTGTGATTTTCAATCTTTAACTGGCAGTGTCCCTTGGATTTTTTATGACATTTATGTACCAGTACATCTTTTGCCATCTCCATCCATCTCGTGCCTGAGGACCGCCCCTTCCATGTCTTCCTTGATGGATTCTTGTTCATATGTCCATTGTTTGAATTACTGTTTAATATGTGGTTTTGATATACTGTGGAATACAGGGATAGGGAAGTGTCCTGATGCAGATGATCTTGCTTTTGAGTGGACAGATGAGGTTCATATCTTTACGGTTTAATTTATCCATAGCTACTCAACTTTCTGGTGTCTACGTGTATGCAAACTTTTAGTTCTGAATAGCAGTCAAGAATCCTAGTTCAAAGTGCGAACTATCCACCAATTCCAGTTGAACAGCCAGAAGACGCGAAACCATTTGCTCCTATGGTGGTTACTGTAAGTTTTTGCTCTGAACTTTATCATATGACTGGTTGTGCATCTAGATGTAGCATCACTTGATCTTGTTCTTTACTTTTCAATTTTCCAAAGGCAATGAACAATTGCAAAAATGCTGCTTTGTGAAACTTTTGCTTTTGTTAAAACACGTGCTAATTCCTTCGTAAAGAGTAACTCTAATTTTTATCGTCGCAGTGCTCTAAATCTTTGTTCAAATTAACTTGGGGTGTCTTTAGGCTAGTTGATTGCGATGAATTCTATGATCCTCCAAGCAAAGTTTTGTATTTTGTAGGGAACAATTGATTATGATGGTCTGGGCCAGTTAGGTGGCGGGACAATGCAGAAGATAAGGATGAAGAATCCGAAGATCCTTAAGATTACAGAGGTTTAGCAAATGGGAGCTCTAATTGTTGCCTGTATTTCGTGATAGTGTTTGAAAGCATGTAGGCAATTTAGTTTGAGCTTGTGAAATTTTATCGGTTATATACAAACTACTGTAGATTAAATTAGCTTAAATGGAAGGAGGCCAATTGAGCGGTTTTGGGGGTAATACGATCTGTAGGAATTCTTAGTGAGTCAGCTTAAATGTTCGTTGTTAATTTTAGCTCAAGTTTCTTTCGACACATGTTTCACTTCTTTTGTGTCTAATAACATTGTCATTTTTTAGAAGCGATATCGAGGGAAGGGAATTGAACACACAACCTTGGATGCAATGCTTAATCCAGCTACAAGTATGGCAAAAACAATAAATTAGACTTTGAATAGTGGCTGCACTTTTCACCGCACATGGAATTAGGATCTGGATTCTGGACAGTCACAGAAGCACCTCAAATCGAAGACATCACTGATACTGTAATTTGATATCTTGAGTTAACTTCGTACGAGCTTCTCGGAGAACCAGGGGAGCCAATGTGCCTATCCCTTCTTTCTCCTTCGTAAAAGCACTCATATTATCATTATCTGCTCCATATTTCTTCCAGTTCTCTCTTATGAGTGTCAATGGATGTGAAGTTACAAGCTTTCAACTCTTTAAGAGTGTGTCAATGGATGTTGTTTGCTTTGCTTTCAGACCCATTCGTCGAGAAATCGCGGTCTTTGGCAACATGGCACAAACGAAAGAGTCTCTCTTTTAAGCATACTGATTGCAATAAATATGAATTGGGTCGCAAATGTAAGGCAATATGCTTTAATCTTTCTATGCAGAATAAATATTAATTCTACCTTGCTAAGTTAATTTGAATTCAAATGCACATCGTGAGATAATGATCAAAGATAGCCACGCCTTGATCAGGTACCTTCTCCTCCTCTTAAAGCTTCTCATATGCAATTGGAAGTGGAACCATTTGATATAAGTTGTGTAATTTGTTTAGTTTCTTATGTAGGATTGCATTCTTCAACATAATATATAGATATTGAACTTTGCTCATGCACAAATTATATATCCAAAGCTTTTCCATACTAATCGAGAGACGATTTGTGCATAAGTTATGCATGTACGTGCCAAAGCTAAAAACTGAAAACAAAACGCAATCAATACCATCAAATACAAGTAGTCTATTTGTGCTTATTAGGTACGCTAAACGTTCCTTTGCACATCAACATTGCTACTAGCTATATTAACTCTGTGAATTTTCATCTGCAATCAAAACAATTTCCCTAGATGTTGTCGTTGTCCTCGATGCAGCTGATGCGGTACTTGAACTGCCGCCAGTAACCACCACTGGCATTTGTTGTGGGTATAAGAAAGGCTTTGGAGGCATTTGAAGGCTTTCAATTTCTCCTTCAAGCATCTCTACAACTTTATTCATAGAAGGACGGTCGCTAGGCTTCATTTGTATGCACCACAACGCCACAATAATCATCTTCTTAATGATTTTCTTTTCCTCCTCTGTAGCATCTCCGATTGTAAGGTCATTTCCTCCACTCAGCTGGTCGAAAACCCATGTCGGAAAGTATATTTGGCTCAAGTGTTCTATATTTGCGTTTAAGTTCTTTCTTTTTCCAGCCATTTCCATCAGCAGCATCCCAAAACTATAGACATCAGCTTTGTACGAAACACCTCCAATGTTTTTGTAGAAAAACTCTGGAGCCATGTATCCGATGGTTCCTCTCGCTGCAGTCAAAGACACAATGCTATTATCCAATGGGCATAGCCTTGCTAACCCAAAATCTGAAACCTTCGGAAGAAAGTTCTCATCGAGAAGAATGTTGTGAGGCTTGATGTCGAAGTGCAAAATTTGCATGTCACATCCTCGATGCAAATATTCAATACCACGAGCCACTCCAAGTGAGATTTCAAACATTTTCTCGCAACTTAAGGAGATAACTCCTTGTTGAGAAAATATGTGCTTATCAAGAGACCCATTAGGCATGAAGTCATATACAAGAGCACGCTTTGAACCCTCCACACAAAAACCAATAAGTTGCACCACGTTAACATAGTGAATCCTTCCGATGGTATCAACTTCATTGATAAAATCCTGCCCGTTGGCTTTCGACTTGCCCAACATCTTGATGGCTACAAGACGGCCACTGCGAAGCTTTGCCTTGTACACAGAACCAAAGCCACCTTCCCCTAACTTGTCCTTAAAACCTCTGGCCATCTTTTTTATGTCCGAGTAAGAGTACCTTACTGGCATGAGCTGATTATTCTGCAGAAAGTCTTCTATATTTTCATACATGGACAAGTGCCTCCTTTTGCATTTGTATATTATTAATGCAATTAAACAGGGAAAGCCAAATAAAAATCTGACTACTTGGAATAGTCCTGCACGTTTCAAAAACATTGGAGTCACCAAATAGATTGATTGCTGCAATATCATCAAACTTGTTCCTTTAGTGGGACAATATTTTCATTTAATTAAGGAATTGTTTGGTAACCCTTTCGTCCTAGTTTTTAATCTAAAAAGAAAGAAAAGAAATAAGTGATCAGAAATTGTAGAAAGAAGATAGGGGGACGGGGTGGGGGATGATGAAGAAATGAAGAATTTATGAAACAAAAAATAAAAGGAAAACTCTTTGAGACTGTTCCAAAGACTAACAATTCCAGCTTTTAATAATTTTCGTTTTTTAGAAAAAGAGCGAAAAATAAATGGATTAATGGGTAAGAGAAATGACACCTAAACCTAAAATGAAACTAAAATAAAAAATTGGAAATAACTTATATTATTTTTGCTTTCTCCTTCATTTCCACCTTTCTTCATCATTCTTTTCTCACATATAATTTCTCTTTAGACTTTATCTATAGCACAAAAATAAAAAGGGAAATGGGCCTTATTTTTTTGTTATACATTTCATTACATGTTCTCATTTTCTTCCATTTCTCCTGCAACCTTTTAACTGAAACATAATAATAAGACTGGAAATTAAAAATGAAGTGATTATCAAACATTCATTTTTGAATGACGAGTATCTGAAGCTAGAAAGAGTTGCATGATAGCTGAGTACAAGTAGTTCACACTACCTAGGAATGAGCTCACAACAATCAGACGCCGGTAAGGGTACACATTCCACCACTTGTCCTCAGGTATAAACCAAGAGTCGATGTACAAATATATCTGGTACAAAACCCTATCTGCAGCAAAGCGACGAATATCGATCATAGTTTCCAAATGTAATTTAAGTTTAATAAACATCAAGGTGACCACAAATAAAGAAACTAACTACACATGTATTATATAGAAGCTGCGTTAGAGAGTAAACCACTTGCCTATGGGCTTTAAGATCTTGTTGTACCAATGTTCTGCATTGCAAAAGAAGAAGAATTATCATTAAGGATCATATATATTATTTTTCCTCTAAAGGATCATATATTATTTACTATTAAGAGAAAAAAAGGGTGAAAATTAATATCATAGGAGAATGCTAGCTACCTTCGTAGCGAAGGCACTCAATTTTGCTCAACTTGTTGAGCACACACGGGTACTCTGTGCAGTTTGAGGTGCTACAAGCCTGGTCAAACCATGAAAGCTCGAAGCCATGCGCTATTTCACTATATATGCCTTCACAGGACGTCAAGTGTTCATGCATGTCTTCTACGGATAACGAAGGTGAGACCATAAGCATCTGCGTTATTTCACAGGACTCCCCCAAATCCAATGAACTTATGAAGCCATTCCAGCCAAGGATGGAATAAGAAAACATTCTTAAACCATTGGACAAAGAAGAATTGGAAGAGTAGGTGCCGTCCTTGACGCATGGAGCTGTTTCTACAAGGCCAGGAGAATGCATCGGTTTTGGACAGTCCATAAAAATTATAGGCCATGTCGTGTAACTAGAACTTGCGTCCGGTCTATTTGAACTCCACGTCAGTCGGGGTAGATAATTGCTGTAAGGATTCGGATAACTAAAGTTGGATGGGGTTAAGGAGTAACGCGGGATGGAGTAGTAGTTATCTTTCTTTTGAACAGCAGCATCCACAAAACGGATTGTAAAGTTATTGTAATTGATCGCCTTGGCGTAAAACTTTCGGTTATAAAAGTACAGGATTGTAACATTTTCCTCACAAGCTAGCTCGTACTTACGGTTGCCACAGTGTTGAGGGTCTCCTTTTAACCGAAATGGAGAGCTTATGCCAATATTGCCACAAGAAAGAGTACAATCAGAATTATTTTCAGGTATCGATGTTTGGGAACAAATAAAGGGAAGAAGAAAGAGTAGAAGAAGGGCTCCATATGGAACTAGTAAGAGACTTCCTCTACACATGGTAAAAGAGAATATAGATGTATCAAAATTATGGAAGAGGGCAAAAAAGCTTAATGGGAGCAAGGGTTTTTGGCTTGTGGCAAGAAGAGGGCGAACTCAGATATAAATTGGCCGCTTGGAGCCCATTATTTATGACAAACGAAGCAAAGACAAACCCACGAGACGTATAAAACTAGGATAACACTGACAAGCTGACCACTTATGTGGTCCAATAAAATTATTCCACCTGTCAAGTGAAACTCAATCAAACACTTGCTTATTCTTGTAACCAATCACCCCGCCGTCTTCCTCAACCCTTCTTTCTCCAGCAACCCCCGCAGTCCGTTACTTCTCCGGCGACCTACTCTCATTCCCGACCACTCCCAATCCCTCTTTTCTCCGGCGACGTCAGTTTCAATCCCTCGCCGGCGTCCAGATCTGAGCTCGGTAAAATTGGGTTATGGAAATCCGCAAAATTAGAGGTTCTGGAAGACAAGAGGTTTGGAACTTTGACGTTCAAAGGAATTGCAGACTTTGAGAGAGAGATGCTGGGGAGGGAAGGCGGTGAAAAGGTGGGGTATCGGTCGACGACGACTGACGAGGAAATCTGGAGGTTGGTTATGGGTTATGAGTTTAGGATGGTGTTTGGTTATGGCCTTAAAGATGTTTGGTTACTAGAATAGTGGTGCTTTAAAATTAAAGAAAACTAATGAAAATGATTTGAAAATTTTGAGTTTTAATGATAAGAATAAAATAAAAGATAAAATGAATAATAGCAGGATTAATTTTTTAGTGTAAAAATATAGTTTTTCGTTAAAGTAAACCGTATTGTGAGCTTTTCGTTAATATCCCTTTAAAATTACAGATATCTTTATATTATTGGACCATGTCAGTGGTCAGTACACTTGTGGTCCTCATATGTCAGGACCCAAGTATTATCCCCGGTGGGTACACCTGTGGCCCAATTTGTACACTTGTGGTCCTGATAGGCATGGAGATGGTCGCCGGAGAAGGAGAGGGCTTGTGCTGGCCCAATAAATTTATAACATGTAGCATTTTAACTCTCTTTAAAATATATATATATATATATATATATATTTTTTTTTTTTTTCCCACACACTCTCTTTTCTTTTTCTGCACTCTTTCTTATTTTTAAAGGCCAGAAATGTACATATACGTGTGTACGTAGGAGAAGAAAAATCGTGTGTAAAAATCACTTACCCCTTTTTCTTTTATTGAATGAAAAAAAAAACATTTTAATAAACAAATTTTTCAACATAACAACCATGGTTATTGCAAAAACTTTAATAATACATTAAAGACGTATTCAAAAGAATCAAAACACAAGTCTCATCAATACTAATTCCAACAAACAACAACAACACTAAACTAAAGAGGAAAAATTTGCACAAACCAAACTATATCGACAACTTCAAATTCTAGGAGGGTAATGCTAGAGAGAATAAATTAATTTGTAGAATAAATTTTGTAAACTCAATGACAATGAAGTTGATAATTGGATTATTACTAAAGTGTAGATTAACGAGCTTATTTTTTTTATTGATGAAACATTGTTTAGTTTGTAAATTTAGTTTACAAATTTAATCTACCTAGTATTACTCAATGTAAAAAGACCAATATTGAAGCCACACGACCACAGAACCCACCTCATCTAACTCAGAATAACATGTATAATAATGGGTTGATCTGGCCCATTTAGGGAATAAACAGTTTCCAGCATTCCAGTTTCTCGTTATAGCGAGTAACAGTTAAATAAAAGCGACTAAAGGTTTTTATTTGATAACGATGGTCAATAACCCATAAGCAAATCACGACCAAGTCCTTCAAATTGAAGTTAAAAACAAAATTGGTGGAAGATTTAAAAATTTTAGAAAAACGTTTTTGGGTTAGGAAGTGGAACGAAGGGGTGAATATAAAAAGAAATTATTATCTACCCAAAACATAGGGGACTTCTGCAATCCCATTATCTTATATACAATCATATATATGAATTACCAAGATACCAAACTTCTACAATCAATATTCTCATTGGATAGAATGCTTCTGATCAATTTCTTGTGCTGGTTTCTCATGATAGCAGATGCTGGTATTGTAAGCAAAGTGTATGGCGACAGAGTAGTCCCTGAAAACTGCAAAGAAGTAAGTTACTGTGAACACCACGGTCCAGCCATCCGATTCCCATTTCGACTTAAAGGACAGCCATTCCAGTGCGGTTACCATGGCTTTGATCTTTCATGCACCAACGGCGGGCAAACCGTGCTTGAGATGCCATCCTCATCTAATAAGCTCATCGTTGAAACGATTAACTACGCTTCTCAAGAAATCGGAGTATATTTCCAATATGGTTGCCCGCCTAAAGATATTTTCAATTTCAGCTTATCTTCCTCAACCTTTCAATTTGTGCATGGACCGTCTGATGCTAATTATACTTTATTCAGTTGTCCGTCACCACGATTTCAAACAGACGGATATCGTCTTATCGAACTGTGCCCTTCCGGCCTTGACAATCCTGAAAACCAAACTAACTACTATGCTGTCAACGGCCGGTATTCCATTGATGATATGAACCTAGTGTCTTGTACCAAGCTGCGTGACTACACATCAGCAGATATTTCATCAGTGACAGCATCCGGACCTATGATGCTGCAGTGGTCCAAACCATCATGTAGAGGTTGCGAAGAGATGGGCAAGACTTGCAGACTGAAGAGAACTATTGGTCAATATCATTTCACAGATAATCAGACTGAATGCGTGAGCGAAGGTATCCTTTAATCTCCCATTTAACTTGACTTCTTGCAGTACTTTGCCGGCAAATATTTCCGTCATTTTCACATTGACAAGGTTTTAATTAGCTAGTTTGGCAGATAATATATGCAACAAATTTGGACTCAAAGAATATATTCGAACTTTTTATATTAAATGAAAACAAAGATTTATGCAAACAATTCTTCAAGTATTTTATTCTTTTGATAACAAAAGTACTAATTATTGACTTAATGGACCTGCTTTTACAGATAGTACCCGTGGAAGGACAAGCTTAGAGATATCTGGTAAGTTGTTCACATAAGCACTATTTTTACAACATTGAATTTGAACTGTTAAGAGTTAGCTAGGTTAATTTTTGCACACTTGTGCGATCCATAATCATAAATATTCTTAGATGGAGAGCTAAATCTAAGACGGTGTGGATTATTGAACCTCATGCAAGTGTTATATTTTAGGGTGCTATTCGGAACTTGCTTCAACAGGCACCAATTTTCATCACTTGTTTTTCAAGTTTTGGATCCCATCCTTGAAAGGGTTCTTCTTTTAAGGTACAAGAAAATCTTACGAGTTCAATACGAGTTCAAAACTCAGTGCCAGCATCCGGATAAAAGACACGTTAACTTCCGCACAAAAGAACCCTATATATGTATAAGTATTAATATAAATTCAATTCTGATTTCTGGGGGCTTTATCAATTGGAGGCAATTGTGATTATTTTAATTTAATTTAGAAATGAGTTGGTTTTTAACGCAGAGTTTGGTCTGTATCCGCAGGTATTTTCACACTTTCTGTGGTTGTAACCGTCGTGGGGACTCTCATTTACCGTGTTTACAGCTCCAACAAAATAGAGAAAACAAATCAGTTGAGGATTGAAAGATTTTTGGACGATTACATAGCACACAAGCCAAGTAGATATTCCTACGCTGATATTAAAAGGATAACAAATCAATTCAATGAAAAGTTAGGTCAAGGAGCCTATGGAACAGTGTACAAAGGACAGCTTTCCTCCGACTTACTTGTGGCTGTGAAAATCCTCAACAATTCTAATGAAAAAGGAGAAGATCTTATCAATGAAGTCGGAACAATGGGTCGAGTCCACCATGTCAATGTGGTTCGCTTGGTTGGTTTTTGTGCTGATGGGTACACAACAGCTCTTGTGTATGAATATCTACCAAATGGTTCACTACAGAATATCTTATCATCAGCAGATGGTAAAAGCGCTTTCCTTGGTTGGGATAAGTTGCATGAGATTGCTTTAGGTATAGCCAAAGGAATTGAATATCTTCATCAAGGGTGTGACCTCCGAATCCTCCATTTCGATATCAAACCACACAACATTTTGCTAGACCAGAATTTCACCCCAAAGGTTTCCGATTTTGGTCTCGCCAAGTTGTGCTCTAAAGATCAAAGCGCAGTATCCATGACTACCATCAGAGGGACCATTGGCTACATTGCGCCCGAAGTGTTCTCTAGGAACTTTGGAAACGTGTCCTACAAGTCAGATGTCTATAGCTTTGGAATGTTGCTGCTGGAAATGGTCGGGGGAAGAAAGAACTTTAAGTTCATGGAAGAGGACTCCACCAGCAGCCAAGTCTACTTCCCAGAATGGATTTACAACCTTTTAGAACAAGGGGACGACCTACGGATTCACATTGAGGACGGAGGAGATGCTGAAACTGCAAAGAAGCTAGCAATTGTGGGTCTATGGTGCGTCCAATGGCACCCCATAGATCGCCCTCCCATGAAAGTTGTTATTCAAATGTTAGAAGGAGAAGGTGACAATCTAACCGTACCTGCTAATCCTTTCCGGTCTACTTCGAATTGACTGAATACAACTATACTTTGTATGAAATGAAAGCGTTCTAGAGTTGTAAAACTACCACTCATAAAATTTGATATGAGAGGTCAAGTGCTGTCATATTAAGAAAGTTAAATATTAGGTTTATCTTATATAGTTGGATGTTTAATATTTTATGTAATATATAGGGTTTATCTATTTAAAGGAGTGTAGTTTTTATGTTATATATATATATTCATTCTTCTTTTCAATAAAACATCAAAGTTACGACCAATTTTTTCTTCTTTTCGGTTTTCTAATTTCTTTTCTTTATTGACCTTATATAAAAGTGTTTTATGAAAAAGCTTTTAGGCTTTCGAGAAACAATCTCAAGTAGGCTCGTAGTCTCGTCATTTTTTTCAGTCATTAAAATAAATATCAGACTTTGAAACTTCTTTTCTCTTAAATTTGCTAATAATTAAAATTACTTGTTACTCACTAGCATCTATGTATCGTTGTTAGGGGTGGAAAAAATTCCCGAAAATCCCGAACCGAACCGAAAAAATCCCGATCCCAAACCAAAAATTTCCCAAACCGAAATTCCCGAAATTTTCGGGATGCTATCCCGAACCAATCCCAAAATTTCGGTATGGGATTCGGGATTGGCTTCTCGATATTTCGGAAATCCCATACCAAACCGAAAATATATAATATTAATTATTATATATATTTATACATATATATATATATTATACTTTTATAATTGATGCTAGTAATTTCTAATTCATGCTCAGCAACCTAGAATGCCCTACACCTTGCATATTTTTCATGTTCTGTTTGATATTCATGTGGATTTTATTATTGCTGCTGCCATGGCTGATGATTTCAGAAGGCTTGATTCTTTTATCTCTCAACAGATTGCAAAAAGAGTTTAATTAATTTGAATTTTGACTATGATAAAAAGAGTCAAGCATGCCAGTGTTCAATTAAATGGTAGTGTGAATGAAATGAAATTCCTAGTTCATAAATGTGTTCTTGAATTATATATTTGAAGAACAATTCATAATTTCATATTTCAATTTGGGATTCCCGATTTGTCCCAAAATCCCGAAAATATTTTGGGATTCCTGAAATTTGGGATTCCCGAA